TACCCTCGTGTACATTCTGAAGTTTAAATATGGAACAAACCAGAAAACATATCTACAGACAACATCTAAGTTCACTGTACACATAAATGTGTGGAGGGCAAAGGGAGAAATAGCTTTTGAAAGCTTACCATATGTGAAGGTCAACTTCTGTAGGGCTTGGGGGTTAGTGGCAAAAAACCCTTGAAAAATAATAAGGCAGTGCAGGGAAAAAAGAAAACCAACTTGAAATTTGTCTAGATATTTGGGGTTAATTTTTACTAGTTTGAAATCTCAACTGAGTCACCAGTTTCAAAATGTTAACATCTGCTTCTTTGCCCTTGATTATTTTCTGAGAGCAACTTAAAAAGATTCTGATTTATAAAAGCAGAATAGTGTGCTTAAGTTCATTTTTTCTGAGCATGTTAACTATTTTTCTGAAGTTACTTCATTTCTAAATCATCTGTGCTTCAAGTATTCTCAGTCTTAGTGATACCTATGTGAAAAACTGTTTCAAGATACTCTGTGATTAAGGCAGTGCTAGTGAGTTAACTTTTCACATTTTTCTTCAAATGCATTTGTAATACATGAACTCAACTTGTGGCTGTGTAAATATTGAAAGAAGGCACAATTGATGTAAATTATGAGTGCTAGTAAGTATAATGCTGTTGCAAGGTATGGAATACTAACGAGAAAGTATGTTTGTTCTTTAGCACTGATCCCTCAATTGTAAACATATCAGATGAAATGGCCAAAACTGCACAGTGGAAGGCTCTTGCCATGAGTACTGAGAGTGCCAAAGTAACCAGAGCTAACCTGAGGTAGCTATAATTACTCACGGGTTTTCTAACTATGGTCTTCTGTTTAGCAGCTAATAGCTGTACTTGTATTTCTTGAAATGTGTCTCCAAAAAAATGAGCATTTGTGGTTTGTAAGTCTGCATTGACTTATTACTTTTGAGGAACTTGAATTTATTTTTTGCTCTTTACTCTGAAGTGAAACAATTTCTATAACAAATTCCAAGTATTTTATTAAATGTATTATTACAATTTTAAAGTTACTCTATGTGCTTAATACAACTGTATGCTACTCTAAATGGCATAGGGTTTCTAAAAGTTTTACTAGAGTGTACCTGAGCATGGGAATTGTTTGATCTTGAACATAAAAAATACCAGTGGGAAAAAAAGGTAAGTCCAGAACTTCCAATGTTGCTTTATGCCACCTGTTTTTTGTGAGTGGGTTGGTTGTTTGGCTTATTTTTCCCCAGTCACTGTCTGGCTGATTTGTCAAGGGGAACAAAGCAAATCCTGAATATTTGTGGAATATCTGCAGCTTCCTCAAAGGCTTGTAGTTTATAGGGGCTGGTGTCTCTGGACTGTTTCATCACAATGCATCTATTGCTTATTAGTTTTTATGTAGGAAAAAGGGGAGAATGGCCCCCCTTGACTCTGAAAAATAAGCTTATGCAATCCTTTCATGCATCTTTTCTTGGTTGATCCCTTTCAGCCAAGTCTGTCAAAAGAAGACAGGTTTCAGAGATATGAAATTGGCAAGTTTTGTGGAAAATTACATCTCGGTGGGAGAGTTGGTTTTAAGGGAGTGTTCATACGTAATTGAGCTATCGGGTACCATTGAGCTTGCGTCATGGAAACAGCAGTAGTGACTGGTCATTTAGTCACTTGTATACCATCTGTTTATTCATCTCATGCGTTGCTCCAACTTCATTTTGCCCAGCAGTAGGTCACCCAAAGGTAAAGAAGAAAACAAGGAGAGAACTTGGAGGTATTGTAATAGGGAAAGCTGAGGAGACTCAGTGCAGACACCATTTTTCAGTGAGTCTTCAGCTTATATGGTTTAAACATTTAAAATGTTTAAATACATGCCTTAAGCATTTTTAGAGCCAGAGTACTACAGAAAATAGACTGTCAGGAAGAGAGGTAGCAGAAGCATTAGATAACAGGATGTGTGTCATTATACCCGTTTTTTTAAGAAACCCTTGACTCTTGTTCCTGAGTAGGTTAAGTAAGTACAGAATTACATGCAGTACTAGCGAGTTAGGCTTCTGACCTGTCTGCAGTATTTTCTGATCTACTCAGTATGCCATCTGTTCTTTTATATTTTGCTGTAAGACACATCCCTTTGATTCCATCCCATGCTCACCTTGAGATTAGTATGGTAAAAATTGTATCTTGGGAAGGAACTTGCTAAAACTACAAACAGAGAATAAAAACCACTGGTGCTAAAAACCAGCTCTTTCAAGAGGCAATCTGATACTGCATGAATCTGGAAAATATTAAGGCACCAGGACTTCCCTGAGCCTTAACTCAATTGGTTTCTGTTCTGAGGCATTTGCAACCCTTTCTTGTATAGTGGGTGCTGGAGAAATCTAGGGATGTTGTCACTGCTCAGTCTGAAGCAATTCCCAGTAATTTTTTCATCTCAGTTCTTTTAAGGTTAATTTGAGTAACAGTCTTCATCTGATAATAAGGGTAGATGCTTATTGCTATAGTAAAAATGGTTCTTTAGGTACTGCTGTCTTCAGATATATAGGTTTCAAATAAGATGTAGTTTGAAGCAGGTGGTGTCTTTTGGAATCCTAGACAACCCATTGTGGGGGTTGGTGTTATTTCTTAAAAATCTTACCTTTTTTATAAAAGTACATATTTTAGATCTTTTTTGTCTTAAAATGATCCAGATTGCTTTTTCTTATTCCCTCCACCATCTCTAATATTTTACAGCCTCTGTGGTGTCCAGGTACGCTTACTAAGGAATTTTTTCTTAGGTATTTTATTAAGGTACATTTTGTAAGAAATCACAGAATTTTTCTTCTTGCATTAATTTCTAACACATTTTTTTTTTTTTCCTTAAAGAGGAGGTGCATGCATGTGTCATCTCTTCTAAAATTCATGCCTAGAGAATCTTCTCTCTTCCTCTGGTCCAGTTTCTCTTCTACTGTCCTCTAACTACCTCAGGATGTTCCTTTCTATCCTTGGATAAGCCAATCTCAGTGGCTGTGCCCCTAAAGAGTGTCAGTGCTTCAGGTGACAGCCAGCCCATTGTCATTAGGGTCTTCCCCTTGAACAGACACTCATGCAGATTTCTGACTGTTATTACAAGTGTGGTTTCCCATTTTGAAAAGACTGTAATGTTTTCCTAGTCTTGTATTGTGAATAGAATTGCTTCCCTGCCCAGTAATTAAGCAATATTAATAAGAATGCCTGTTATGTATTTTTGAGTATTTTTAACTAGACGGTTTTGTTTGGTTTATTTTTAAGAAGTTTTGCAAACCACTTTCAAATCACTAGAATCTGTCAAAGCAGTGAGGCTGGAAATGGGTATCTAGATGAGATATTGGTGTTTTCTCTCTAAGCTTGTACTGTTCTGTGAATAGTATTTAACCGTTACTAGAATGCAATAGAAACGCATTGTCATCAAACTATCCTTACGTAAATACTTTTCAGTGTTCATTGTGAGGTATAAAATATTTGAAAGCTAATGTTTACTGGTGAACCAAACCTTACCTTTTCCTCTTTGCTTTCAAACAGCCCTGAAAAAACAGGAAGTGTGAAAATAAATGTGGAAGATTCACCTGTTGTGAAATACGTGGATGCTGAAACATCTTTATAGAAGTGAACCAAGGGGAATTGCGTATATTTGTGTGTGTATATATGTAGCTGTAGGATATTATACTGTGGAAGTGTGATTTCCAGTTTAAGGAGCGTCATATATTTAATTCTGCCATTGTTTAGGGCACTGTAGATATGCTTGCATAATGAGAAGGTTTTCCTACAAGTAAGTGGTAATCACACTTCAGCTATTTATTTTACTGGAAATTTTATTTTCATTTTTAAATAGGAAGATTGTAATTGATGCGTATTCTTTTCAATAATCAATATGTGCATAGAAGTTAAATCAGCTTTTGCTGATGATTACTGGTCCACATTGCTTAAAATTTTGCAATACCTCTGTTTGTAATGTGTGCTACAGAAGTTTGTTCTCCATGCAGGCAGTTACTGCTTTTTTTGCAGGGTATCCTTTTTTTTGTGATTTCATAGAACAAATATTAATGTGCTGTTGACAAGAACTACTGTGTTTTATGTCTCTACTACATGCTAGTGTTTTCTGGATTCTGTCTCTCCTGTTTTACAGAAGTGGCCTAGAGCCCTAAGTCAGGTTAGTTAAGCCTTAAGATAGATATAGATAGATACAGATATAGATACATATATATATATATATATATAAAAATACCCTCTTCCACTACTTTTTTTCTTCCTTTTAAATTCACTCTTGATTTCTCATTATTATCCAGTAGCAGAATGAGTGCAGTAATTTTATTTACAGTCCCAAGTCAGTATTTATCATTCTGGATGCTCCATGTTTACATGATACAGACGGCAATTTGGTCTCTAGGAAGTTACACAGGCTTACCATACTATTTCTCTTCGAGTCTTTTGTTCCTGTTGGTACTTATTTTTTCTGTAACAGTTTGATTTACTCAGCTCCAAGACTGAAAACTTGGAGTATTTCATGTCCTCATCAAATAGATTTCTTAATTTTTAATTTTATTGTGTATTTTACTAAATTACGTGTAGTTTAATTCTGTAATAAGTTTATGATCAGTATTATTTTGTGGATTAGAAATTGCTTGTGGTATTTGTGTGTACAGTTCTGATCTTCTCCATTGTAAAGGGCATATATGATAGCACACCAACTTATTTTTTAAACATTTTATTTATTTTAATTAGTATAAACTTTTATCATGTAAGATGGAAAAGTAAATATTCATTTATTAAAGTAAATGGGATTGAGGGCTCACTGATAAAGATGCAGTTGTACTTGCATTTTCAGTTTCTAGTGTTCAGCATTATAATAATTGAAATAATGAGAATTTTATGTATAAACAAAAATCTTGATCAATTACCTGTGCAGTTTCCATTATTAATAGTTTTTTGCCTTACCCTTTAGGTTTTTTGCTTTAGTTTTTGAAATTATTTCTTTTACATTCTGAATTGCCACATAGTGGCTTTAATTCGAATCTGTGCTCATTTAAAATGAAGATACTGTTTGCTTAATTCTGCTTTTTGCAGAGTTGGGAATTTTATCGTGGGCCACATGATAAAATTCTCAACAACTGAAAAAAGAGCTGATTCCGGAGGAGGGCAGAGTTCATTTGAAAATGCCACTTGAGGTGGAAGACAATTGGATTTTACAAAAACAATCAAAATAAGTAGAAACATTTAAAGATAGCATTTAAGTTACACAGACTGGTACCATTCCCTTTCAGTGTAATATAATTAAGGTTTTTCTTTTTGACTTTTCCTTTTTTTATTTGGTTGAATTCTGAGAGGACAGTTTAAAGAAAGTAAATTATAGTGTTCAGCAATATGAATAATGGTATCCAGACTGTCATAACAAAGGCTCAGGTCAGTGGCAAAGCAAGTGAGGTCTGCATTACCAATTTCACCAGTCCTGTGTAAGGATCTGTATAGATGTTCCTTCATTCTTAGATGATAGCATAGCTTGTGCCTTAGCTTGAGTATATGTGCTTTCAGAAAACACCCATGTTTTCCCTCTATTAAAACTGAGATTCAGTGAAACTAGCAGATGGTTTCGCAAAACTTTCTGCATTATTTAAAAACAAACCAAACACCAACCAACCCAAACCCAAACAAACAAAACTCAAAATAAATAAATATCCCAAAAAACAAACAAAACAAATGCAACAAAACAAACCACATCTGCAGGTCAGTTGTTGACTACTGAGTAGCTTTTGCTGCATCAAAGAGGGAAGATACTTTGGGCAATTTATGTAGTGCTGTCCACAACACATTACTTTTGTTCTAGTCCTTCCAGTACTGTTTTACACTTCATGTACACAGTCCTGTAACAATTTATAAATACCCCAAAAATGACTGTAAGCCTCTGATTTTTCCATGTCTGGAATCAGGGTTCCTTGGTGCTGCACACGTTGTATCTGGCTTCTGCTTCAGAAGGGTTACGTGCTCGTCAATATTACAGGAAGTAGATATTTTTCTAGGAACGCTGAATAGAAAAAAAAAACAAAACAAAATAAAAAAAAAAACAAAACAAACAAAAAAAACAAGCCAAAGCCCTACAAGTCTAATCACAGTATTTATTTAATTTTAATTGTGTAGATATTTTTTTTATCAGTGCCAGAAATGCCATGACTTGCAAAGCAGTTTACAGTGACCTTTAGTTCTGCTGTTCTTGGTCAGTAGTATGTTACAGTTGCACTTTTCCCCCTGTATAAATAGGAGAAGATCTGGTGTGAAGTGCATAAAACCCTGCTGATAATTTATGATTGACTCGCTGCTCGTTTTACACCTTCTCTGCTTTAAAATCACACATAGTATTAAACAGCTAAGGATGTAGTTTAAGTAATGTTTGTTTTGCCTTAATAGATGCAAAAGAGCAGTGATAATTGCTGTGCACTGATTGTTTTTTCATATGGGTTAAGCCCTGTATAAACTATGCCAATATATTTCCACTCCAACTGTCAGAGGAAAATAAACAGCCCTGCACTTTCTTTAGATGCCTTGATTTCCTGGAATGGAGCATAGTGCTACTGTGTGTCTGGCTGCAGAGCCTCCTCAGGAAGTCCCTCTTTTTCGCTCTCCTTTGTTTTTTTTGTCTTTTCCTTTTTCTAATTTATTTATAAATATGAATGTTTACATAAAGTGTAGGTCTTAACCTTGACCACTCCATTTAAATTATCATCTAAAATATTTCACTTAAAATGCAGTCTCATGTTTAAATTATATTCTACAGAACTCATTTGTAGTATTTTCATATGTATTACAGTGACACACTTTTCATTCTGTTTACATATTCCCAAGTTAATTACACTTTCTCCTAGATTAATTTTGCAGCTACAACACAATATCTTCTATGATTGTTCAGTGAAATGTTCCAAATTGCCAAGTTTGTCATCATAAAGCCTGTTAGGGTAGAGTTTGGTGCCCCACTGGGGGTTTTTCTTTGTCTTGGATATTTTTTGCTACATTTAATGGAAATTCTCCTGTAAGTTCTTGCTTCTCCGTCTTTACATGGTCACTTCCTAATCTGTGCCCTTTGCAAAGGCAGGTTCAAAAGGCTGTAAGTTGGGTCTGTAACAAATAGGTGTTGTGTCACAGAGCCTGCACCATTCTACAGGGTTCTCTTGTACATACATTCTGTGCAGCGTGAGATGAGCGGTTCATGACTTTCAGTTCACCAGTGTAGTCTGTTAGATGAGCACCACCATGACCTTAGTTTTCCTTTTGCTTTATATGATTAGTAATGTTTTAATTACTCATCTAGGTCAAATAATCATCAAGTACAGTACCAGTGTGTGAAATAACTTTGTGTATATCAACAGTAATTTATTGTACAGCAAATTTTAAGACTTAGAGGCACAAGGCTTTGAGTCAGCGTAAAAGTAGTGCTATAAATAAACCAAATTGTTTAATGATTTTGAGTTGATTTTATTTTGTATCATTTCGTGAAAACTCATTGGGCTTTGTAGCTGGCATTGAAGTTAACCTAGACACTTTCATATTGAATTTAGTAACTGTTGATGTTTATTTGGAATAATGAGTTTGAAAATCAGTACTTTTCTAAATGATTTTAGTGGCAGGACACATCCTTTATACTATTTTTCTTTCTACTGTTGCTGATTCTCCTGAGCAAAGGTGTCTTCCAGGGTTCAGCATCTGTAGCTGAGCCACATCTTTGATTTTAATACTGGTTATTTGAAATGTGATTACATACTGTACGGTTCGAAGTTTTTATGACTGCTTTTCTAATTACAGTGATGTTTTCTTACTTCACAACAAAACCCAAAGCAGATGAAAACATCTCTCTGAACGCAGAATCGACATTACGTTTATACAGGAAAAACGCAGCTCTCAGACGTGTCTTCAATGTGAAAGATCCAGCTTTTGTTGTTTTCATTACTGCTAGAATAAAATTATCTTTTGTAATGTTTCACAAAGTCGGTAAAAGCAATAAAAATCTACTGGACTTTATGTAGGCTGTGTCTGGTTTTGTTTTAGGTAGGTTATGTGCTAGGTGGGTGCTGCGGGGAGCAGTACGGGAAGCGGCCCCTGCGAGTAGAGCTGCGGCTGTTCTCGTCCGTTCTTATGGCAACGGCTGCCGCTATCGCTAGGATACGGCGTCGCTGTGGAACACGGCGGCATGCGATTGGCCGACGAGGCCATCTCTTCGAAGAACACGGGCTGCGATTGGCCCGCGGGGCGCGGTTTAGCTCCGGCGGTCGGAGCTGTGCCGCAGCCAGGCGAGGAGCAGGGCGAGCCGAGTGAGTGGGACGGGAGAGGGATCGGGGGGCTCTGGGAGGGGCCCGCAGCACCTCGCTGCCCTCGCGGCAGATAAACCCACCGCGGGAGGGGAAGGGAGGGAGAAGGAGGTGGCAAGGTCAGGCTGCTGTCTTTTCATCGTGTCACTGCCTTGTCGCGTAGTTTCCGCGTAGTCACGTACTCCGGCCCTGGTAAGGTTTCAGAGTCGGTGTTAAAGAAGTCAAAGCATAACGTAAGCGTGCACGTTGGTATAAAACACTTCGTGGAACCCAAGTGCTGAGTCAGGCCTGCTTAGTCACGGATAAGGTGTGATAACTCCAGGGGATCTCTGTGCTTCTAAATGATGCCCTGTTGGTACAGTGTGCCACCTGCCAAGAGTGCATCTCAGCCCGGATCTTGCCCAGCAAACTGGGAGTAGTGCCTCTAAAATAAGGGTTGCTTTGTCCCCATCTCTCCCCCACACCTAGTGACATCTTCCCCAGCCCTGCACCTTTGCCAGCTCTGAGCCTTCAGTATTAAACAGCCCCTTTTGATTTCCAGAGGCTCTAAGCCATAGGGGTACAATTCCCTAGAAAGGTCTGCTTGGTGGCAAGGGCAGAAAGGATGGATTTCACATAGCTATGTATTATGGTTAAGTTGCCACAGAGCTGCTCAGTAGACCTCAGAAATCCCTTTTTTTTTTTCTCTTCCCTACATCTGTGATCTGCAGGTTAACGGTTAATTTGGGCAAATTAAAAGTTGTTTAGGCAGATAAAAATTATGGTCTGGAAAATAGCCTAGAGACTTATATTGCATGGCTCCAGGAATCTGGGAATGGGCCTGGCCATTTGTGGCTCCTCAGGAACTGGGGTGGTGTAGAGGGAAAACAAAATAAGCCCCAAACCAACAGTGACTTGAGTATTTTAATTTGTTAGGAAAACAGAAATCTTCTGTTGGACCCTTGTTAATCCTGAGAGAATATTCAAGGAACTTGTCTCAAATTTAATTTTCTTCAGTAAATTTGTGCATGTGGAAGATTTCAATTGTAGCAAACATGTAGATTTCCATAGTGATTCAGTCAATAAAATGAGTAAGAAATATTCGTCAAACATTGTATGGGTTCCTCAGTAGAATTTCCTAGACATGGGCTGTCATCAGTTCTGGCTGCTGTGCTCTCTGGGAACAAGAGGGGAAATGGTCCAGGGTTCCCTTTGCTTTCATCAGACTGGAGAAGGAAAAATACCTTTTGGGAACTTTTCATCATCTCTGATGCTTCTTCTGCCATCATTTTGAGAGTATTTGAAATGCATTTCTATTTTGATGATAGTATACTGATAATATAATGGAGTGAATTTTCATCTAACTTCACTCCCAGCTTATGGTATTAGATACATTCCTTTCTAGCAACAGCATCAAAAGTCTGATTATAGCCAAGATCTAGCATATCTACTGCTTCTTTATCCACTTTAAGCCAGTTAACCTTCTATGTATAATTATGTAGTGGAACTCAGGCACTGGAGGGATTAAGAGAGGAATTCAAGGGTAAAACAAGCAACTAGTTGGCTTACAAATGTCCATATCCAGTAGTTTTTGCTAATAAAGATTATAAAGGCTGTAAGACATCTTTTTGTTTACGGGAGTTTCAAACCATTACACTATAGTTTGTGGTGGTAGATTTACCCTCCAACATATCTTCCTGCTTTCATTTATTTGGGGTTTTTTGTTTTCCACCTTCTGAAGCTTTATGTGCTTGTGTCATCTAAGACAGACACTAGACTGGGCCACAGATCAAGTCTGTGGTGGTAATTCCTTTGTCTCCTGTTTCTCATCATAGGAATTCTTTCATTTCTGACAGGGTTCTTGGAGCATTTCTTGTCCTGTCCTGCATACCAGCACTATCAGAATGCATCTTTCTTTCTATTTAATTGAATTAACATAACTAATTAAATGAAATTATCCTCAGTTAAGATGAATTAGTTAATATTACTCTCATTTCATTGTTTTAAATGGAACTGAATAAGAGTTTATGATGTAAAGACATTTTCCTTTCACTGTGTTTCTTTTCTTTTAAAGATTTGTCTGATCTCAATCATTTTCTGGCACAACCTAAGTGAAATGTGAGTGTTGTTTGGTTTGTTTCTTATACATTACTCATGGCTGGTTTAATAGCTGGGGGAGAATTATGAGGATAGTTAATAGCCTGGCTCCGTGGAAATTTCTGCTGGCACAAGTAAAGAAGAAACACAGGGCTGGGAAGTTATTCAGTGATTTCAAGTAAGTCAAATAACTGTGGGAATAGGTAAGGAAATATTTAATGTCTGGTTTCTGTCAGGTTTATGGCTGATACAGGGAAAACAGGGGGTTGTTTCCTTTTGTCTGCCCCTCATTGGGGTGTGGTGCTAATACATGTACCTGATTTAATGACTGGCTACTGATGAAAGGGTTTTCTGCTCTTCTTCCTCTTATTTACAGCGGTGCATTCCTGCTCCTTGCCTTGTCAGCAGACATACGCATTAGGCCACACTAAAGTGATCTCAATTTGTAGAAAACTGACTCTACAAAGGGAGGCATGTTGTTTTCTGCCTAAGTTGGCTGAGGTTTGGGTCAAATCAGCTGAAGAACTGGCAGGTAGTGCCTGAGGATGGTAAGGGAAAGGGGAAAGGATCTGTCATTTTCACCAGCAACTGCCTGTTGATAGATAGGTTTATCTCTGTAATAAAGCTGAAGGGCAAAATACTAAGGTGCATGGATAAATGCTTCTTTCTGCTTATTGTCCCTGCCCTTGTACAGTAGAACTACTTGGGGACAAGCTGTAAAGTAATCAGGATTAAAGTAGGAGAGATTATTTGTAACCTGAATCAGGTTTCCCAATCCAGTGTGCTGTGCCCCTGTGGTGACGCTGTGCTGACAGACCAAAGAGGTTGTGCATATTCCACCTGTGGCCAGGGCTGCCCTCTCTGTTGAAGTTCTTCCTGAGATGTGCTGGCTTAGGAGCTTCTAGGAAATGGAAAGGTAGCCTCAGGATAAGTCTTCAGAGCAGGGTGAGGACTGCATCCTTGTGTCAACTGCATCCCTTCATCCTCAGATAGCATGAAGAGAATTTGCCTCGGTGTTTGTCAGGTTCAATTGTGTACAGGGACATTTGGATCTGTAATGACAAAGAACCTTTACAATATTAGCCTTTTACTCTGTTTCATCTTTACCAAGATACTGCAAAGAGCAAAAGCTTTAGACTTGTGGCCCTAAAACAAGGTTGGCCTATAGCTGTAAGATGTTGTAAATAATCACAAAGACCTAACAGTTTTGGATTAAACTGTAGCCAGACTGGGAATCCTGCTGTTTAGTGGTTTAGAGGTTTCACCCAAGGATTATTTGTTTGTTCTTTTTAAATTTGATGCTGAAAATTTTTAGACTTAACTGTATTTGCTCATTGTTTTGTATGTGATCTTCATGATTCTTTAATTGGCTGAAATCTGTTCTTTATACACATGAGCAAGTTGATAATTTGTGAGTTTCACAATATTTTTTAGTGTGCAAATGTGAAGTGATTGCATTGTGTCACGCGTCAGTAATATGCCAAATAGTTTGGGTTAGTAAGGGAGAGGATATGAAATACACATATCACTAAAACAATACATGGATTTTCTTAGTCTTGGATTCTTAAACATGCTTAGCAATGTACATGGCTTCTCTTTCACTGCTTTTGAAGCAAAGGAAATAATTTAATATCTTTTGCTTTAATCTGAACTGACCTGCAGAACCTTGTTTATATTAATTCCCTGGTGATAACTGGTACAACAGAAGTGTTCTGAGGTGTTTTTTAATAACCCTGTTATTGGGGGTGCATGGAGAAGAGAGGAGGAATTTCTTGGGAATCATTCTCTGTGGAGGGACTGCTGGTAGGATAAAGTAGTTCAGTAGAACAGAAATGGATAATCAGGGCTTACAGGCCACTTACCAGGGTGAGTCAACGCTGTGCATGAATTCATACTGTTAACAGTTTAATTCTGGGTAGTCCTGTGTCTGAGATAAGAACCTGTAATTGTGCAAATAACTTGATATTCAGTTGGGAAACAGCAGCTTCTGGTACTTTACTATGCTTTTGTTTTCTGCCAGGTTTTGTTCTTTTTTGCTTTTATGAGGAAAAGGAATAAAAATCACTAGCAGAGGAATTCCACACTGCACAAAGAGAAAAGGAAGCTATCGTATTTCATATAGAAAATCCTAGTAAAGTCACACCAAAGGGAACATTCATATGGTCCATATTTAGCCAATAGTAAGATGGATAGAAAGGATCTGTCAGTGGTATTTTATCACAAAATAATCACAAATTATATCTAGTTTTTTAAACTGGAGGTGCTCTACCAATATGTTGCAGCTGTATGCAGTTCTCTGGGAGAATTCTTCAGCCCCAGACTGCTCCTGACCATCCTTTTTTTCACTCAGAGCAGGATCTGCATCAATACACTTGCTTTTGTGAAAGCAAGAAATTTCTCTTGACTATCCTCTTTCTATGTCTTTCTGTTTCTTTCTAGGCCTTTATAAGATTTTCAGTGAACAAATGTTTTATACTATGCAAACAACCATCTGTGGCTTTTGGTGGGAAGTCAGACCTACAATTAAATGTTTGTCTGCAGTGGATCTGCTATGCAATAATGATCCTGATGAGGCTGGGCCATACAGCTCTGCTCATATGTGGAAATAAGCTGTGTGTCCCACTGCAGGAATAGCTGGGCACTGTTGGTATAAGGCATTCACTTGAAAATCAGAAGGCCCAGATTCCAAATGACTGAAAATTTATGTGATTCTTTGATAGACCACATGATGTATTAATCTCTTTTGTTTTTACCCTCCATCTGTTTTGTTTATTTAGATGATAAAACTATTCAGCCTGTAAGCACTGCTGTAGCATAAATAGCCAATCCACAGTGAGAAATAATGGTACTAAGATGGAAGAAGAGGAAGCATCCTTATAAAGAATGCATACAGTAAAAAGAAAGCCAGTATTATCTACTTATTTTTGGGGACACCAAGGTTTCTGTTTGATAGCTTAATTATTTTCTTGTAAATATCTGGAATTCTAAAGGATATCCTCACGTAATGGCCAAGGGTTCATGTTAAGAAAATGATAAAGCTGTTTTTTTCTTAAAGTTATATCAGTCCATTCTGTAAATAAAACATGTTGCTTTTGCTGCAACGCTGCAATGATACAATTCCATCTCCTTTTTTTTTTTTTTTTAAGGAAATGAGTTCTTAGCCACGTGATGGTAATAGTGATACACAATGCCTGATCAGGACAAAAAGCTGAAGACCACATTAAAAGCAGCAGAGAAAAAACCTCATGGGATCTCTGTGAGGTATAGTATCTGACATCTTACTTTGAACTTCAGCAGGACCCAAGTGGAATTCACACTAGCTGCCAAAGCAGAATGCTTAATTTGAAATGCACTATAAACATGACAACTGTTACTCTGGTCACAAAGTTTGTTTACGCATTTGTTGATTTAAGGCATTCTGGAGAAGCTCTAAATTCTTCTGTATGTAAAATGGGGCCACTAGGCAACACCAGAAAACTTTCTTTTCTGTCAGTAGCATTGCTGCTCATTAACTTTCTTTACACTTACAGAAGTACTTTTATGTGGCTATTAACACATGTATTTATGCTATTGTATTTCTAGGGATTATTCTGATCTTAAAAGACTTCAGTCTCTCTTAAATGTGCAGTTAAGGAACCAACAGGTATTTTCTAATAACTATTATTAAATGCTGTAGAACTGTATAATTAAAAGTAATGTTTTGTGGCAGATCCATAAGATACTGTTATTGTGTTCTATTGTGATTAAACATATTGACAAAATCTTGTGTAGTGGATGTCTTTCTTTTTGTTGTGTTTTTTTTTTCCTCCAAGTTACTGCTTCTCTGTTGGACAAATCCCATTAAAAAGTGTGAAAGAAAGAAACTGACCTGCAGTCCATCCTACTCTGCTATAGTTTTTATTTTAACAGAAAAAAAATTGCTTTGTTCTGAATCTTGAGCAGATTTTATCCAGCTATTATTACATATAGTCAAGTAGCCTAACAGATTAGTTTTCTTCCATGCCCTTCCACAATGTCATAAGAAGGTAGGCTGAGATGTGTTAGTTACAACGTGATGAAGACTGGTAAAGAATGTAAAATAAGATCAACATTTTAACAATAAACAGTTTATCTTTGGAGAAAAACACTCCAGCTAAAAACCTTTGGCATAAATGTCAATGCATGAAACTTATAGGACACAGTAAAGTCTCCTTCACCTCAGCTCACATAGTGAATCTTGTATTTGCCATTTGAAGCAGAGAAAACCAATGCATGATGATGGGTGAGAGTCTTTGGTATACCAGAACATTTTCTCCCTTTCTAATCTGTAAAAGGTATGACAAGGTGACTTAGGAATTCAGCCATGTGAGACAGGAGTTATGTACTCCCTTCTTGGATAGAGGCATGGAATTGCTTCTTGGCAGAAAGCTGAAATGCTTGAGTTCTACAGCACTTTCTTAAAAAGAATATGAAGGCTATGCAATTGTAGAAGTAGGACAGGTAAGGAACACAGATAATGAGTATGTGTTGCAGATTCTATTGAGCTTTACTATTATAAATTTTAAAAGACACTTGTTCACATGTTATATATCTCCATGTTCTTGTTTTCTAGCTTTGCTCGTCAGTTTTTTACCACATGAATTTTATTTTGCGGGGGGTGGTGGGATGTATTTTATTACGTCAAGTAATAGGTCCAAAGTTCAAGTCAGAGCTTGAGAAAAGGTACTTTTGCTTGATAACATTCTTATAAAACTTAAAAAGCAGTGTTTGCCTCATGAGCAATATCCCTTTCATCCTTAGCTTCCAGCTATACATTTCGAAAACGGTCGAACCAGTGTGACAAGAGCTTGGCAAAATGTTAAAATCAGTGAACAAAAACCCCATGGTCAATGGCAAGCATCAACAGAAGCTGTTCAGCTTGAAAACTTTAGGTAAAAAAAAAAAAAAGCTAATATGATGGCACTTGTTATTTCTGAACATCTTCATGTGTCTAAAGCTTGTTGCTGTGTTGAAGGCCGTTATACTTAGGTATGTTACTTCTACTTTCATGTTAACCCACTATCTGAGATATGAATTGCATATATTTAACTTTCTAAAGTTAACTGTGGATGTTCCTGCCTTTGTCAGCTTTGGACACATGCTCCTGCTTGGCAGATTGTACTGTTGAGAGCTAGTATAGTAATTTTTTTAAAAATAATGGTTTCCTTACTTGGAAAGCTTGTATTATACCATTATAATAGTCCCAAATTATGCACGAGATAGAATATTCTTTCATACTGTTAATATCTTGAAATCTGAAATGGTTTATTCTTTAGGAACTTCTGATATAACATTCCTAACGTTGCTAATGTCAAGTTTTGGCAATCTACAATCATCTTGTGGCAAGATAATCAGCAATTCAGCATTTTTTCCTCTTTTAAATCCTCATTAGTGTGACCTACAAGAATGAGAGGAATTTTAGCAAACATCCCAGCCATAAGCTGTTTCAAGAGATCTTTACATCTTTGGTGAAGAACCGACTTACCTGCAGGTCAGTATATTGAAAACATTGTTATACAAGGAGAGTCACTCTTTCTTGCAAAATTCAGATCAGTTTATGCTACTGTTTATTTTTGTGTTTGTGCATATAACAGGATTAGAAAGGGAAAACCCTTTCTTAGGTATTCTCATTTGAGCAAGAAAAAAGTGAAGAACTTAAAAAAATAGTGGGGACAGAAAAAGGTATTTTCTCGCAAAAAAAAAAAAAAAAAACAAACAAGAAACCCAGAATTTCTTTTCCTACGCACCAGTATTTTTCCTTTTTAAGCCCAAGCACACCTAAAAAACATCCCAAGTGGCACAGAAGCTTAAAGAAGCAATCCTGGAGCATTTAAAGGTATTAAAGTGTAACTGCCAGAATTTACAGAACCACCTAAAAAAAACTAAACCAAACCACATAGTTTGCTTAGACCCTTTTTCAGAACTAACTAGGGAACTACAGATCTCATCTTTGATTATCTAAATAGCAGTGAGTTTAAGCAACTTGTAAATCTGGTACCTCTTCTTTGCAACTGAACTTTATCATCTCAGTACCCTCTAAGGGGATGTCTGTGGCTCAGCTTAATTTGCAAAAAACCTAAGAATTCACATTTTATCCTCCCAAGTTCTATTTATACATTGTGGCATACCTAGCTCATATTTTGGTTTTTATTTTCTTTGACACTTGCTGTTGATGATGGTGATACAGCAAAACCAACCTCTTGTATTACAAATCAAAGCATCCGGGTAAAATCAGTGAAACAAATACATATTAGTAGGCACGTAAAACCCATAAGGTAAGTGCAGTTACTAAGGTGATTTAGTTGCCTTTTGTAAATACTTTATTGTGATGATGTCCTTTCTTTGGAGATACTGCCATTGTATTGTGTCAGAGCCTTTGAAATTGTCACCTTATTTGCATGACATACTTCTGCTGGCATAAAAGATGTTGGTTGGGGGGCAAGAAAATCACACCCGCTTACTGGCATTGATGTGTCAGCAGAAGTCCTGATTGGAGTTAAGAAAGCTGTGATCAGCTCATTTTAAGTAATTTGGATAAGGAATATAACTAAGCAGGCAGAAAAAATCCTGATGACATATGCTTTACATACACTGTATGTATCTAGTAATGTGTACTGTAAATGTAACTGTAGCAGAAGAGACTCACAAATAACCATGCTCGGAGGATTACTGTCCCTGCTTGGAAATGTGACAGATGCATTGCTCTGTTAAAGAAACTAACTTCTGTCAAGAGTCAAAGCTTTTTGAAAGAATAAATTTGTAGAACCACTGTGGTAATGATCTTCAGGCCACTTTAAAATCTGACTTACAAATTTTCCATACAGGTTGCTGTTTTCTTTCTGTGAAAGTTTTGCACCATTCTAAAGTGGCCAAGTAAGGAACCATACAAAAATGAAAAAAAACAGTATTATTTTGGGCAGCATATCGGCATAGAAGGGCTGATATTTTGTTAGCGTGTATTTGTAAAACATTTATTTTTATCAAAATATTTTTAGCTATTGGCATTGCTCCCAATTACAAATGATAAAAATGGAAGAGAACTGCCACATCGCATAGACTTCTTCCAGTCCTTGGAAGCTCGCCCAGATACTACAGATTCTGTCCTCTTAGTTAAAACAACAACAGAAACAGCACCACCGAGATGTCCAATTTTATGTTTATTTTAAATAGGAAAATGGGGCTATACATCTTCAAGAGACAATGGAAGTAGTGGTTCTGTTACTGGTATTTTATGCAGGTTTACTGCCCCTGGATGCTTTGTGCAAATCTGAGTTGTGTTTTCTGCCAAGGCTTGTGCTGAGGAGTTGTGTGGAGAAATATAAAGGAGGAAGTTTTATTTGGAAGCATAATACCATACCAAGGGCATTTGAACTAAATAAATTATTCCAAGGACTAATAGTATTAATTTGTAATTGCCCAGGATAGATTACAATAATTAAATAAAATATTTCAAATCTCGCTATTTTTATTTCTGTAGCACCCATATTTTTATGTATGTGTATTTTGTGCACTGAAGTTTGATATGTGGTTTCTTGGTGATTTTGTCTTTTTGGGCTTTGGTCCAAAGACTTAAAGTAAGTTTATATCAAAGCATGATCAGTTTGTGCATGTACTTTCCTGCATTAGGTCAGTGACAATAAATGATGGCCTGGCAATGGTCATATAATGAAATAAGTTTATTTAAAGCTGTTACTATGTTTTAATAGAAGTGGTATTAAAGGTTCTATAGTACAGTATGTTGCACTATACTATAGTACAACTGTTGTAAGTCACTTACCTTCTAGTCAATTCCTGAAATCAAAGTGTTTTTTTGACATGTTTTAACACTTAAAATGCATTTGGTTTACGTGTGGAATATTTCTTTGACAGGGAATGGGTTAATCAAGCTTCGTCCGTCCATTTTCTTAGAGTATTAATCTGTCTGAGATTATTAATAAGGGATCCATGCTATCAGGTCAGTATACCAAAATACTGTTTCTTGCTTGGATAAAAGAATGCACATAAGCATCATGCATATGACTTGTGTTGTTGCATGTGTATAAAAATGTATGTTCTTATACACATGTACCTATATTCCTATATGTGAGGAAGTGATTTGCAAACAAACAGATTACAAGAGTGAATTTGCACTGTTACTGAATAGCTTGCTCAAGTTCTTATATTCCTTATGTAGGGCCTGTTGTTGATAACCTTAACAAAGAACCTGTAAATCTCTATAACAGATGGCTTGGTCATTGCTTTGAGCCTTAAACCCTGTGCTTGATTTTAACATGTAGATATGTAAAATTCCCATAATATAATAAGAAAACTGAAAGCTGCCTATTCCTCCTAGCTGCCTGATGTTCTTAACTAAAACCAAATAGCTTTCAATTTTATTCTGGCTATTATAGTCACTATTCATAGGACTAAGCCTCAGACATCTGTTAAGATATTTGTGTATTTTTTTCTATGTGTTCCAAAGTTTATACTGTTTTTCCAGTTTTAAAACCTTTAAAACTTAACTTCTGTGTTTTTATTTATCTACTTACTCTAAAATATTCTGAACTCTGAAGGTGCTACATATGTCCAGAATTCATTGACTTCAAGCACTGGAATTAAGGTTTCGCAACATTCATAACAAGCAGAGCATTTATGTTCTAGTGTTCTTTCATTCTAGTGTTTTCTTTATTTTTGCCTTTTTTTAATAATTTAAAAAAAATTTTTTTTTTTTTTTTCTTTTTTATTAGGAAATGCTCCACAGCTTGGGTGCTATTGAAAATCTAGCTCAGGTAGAGTTCCTCATGGTACTTTTGTCTGATATGTTGCATGTCAGATCATTACAGTGTACATAAATTCTTGGTTTATGGAAAGAAGTGAGTCCATTCCTCTGCATGTAATCAGTTGATGTGGGGGTTTTCTTTTCACTAGTGTACAAAGAAACTGTCCTTATAATATAGCAGTATTAACCCAGGTCTTTTAGTTAAGAGACTTAAATCCCTCCTGAAGTGGGAGGAGAATTAGAAAAATCAGCACAATTGTTTCAATCAGGAGAAAAGAAGGATGAGTAAAGTCACCTTGAACTGTAGTAAATGATTTTTCAAAAGTAAAAGTGTAGTAATATAATGTTGAAACAGGTTTAAATTTGGGGGCTACAGCACTTTTGCATTACGAATCATGATTGTTACTGCTCTGTGTTAATACTGCTTTGCTTCTTGGTTTCTAATACTTATCAGTGCCAAGTTAGCAGTGAGATTTGACATACCATGAATATCTTTGAAATTCTTTGGAGTTCTCTTTCTAGAAAAAAATTATTTGCTATAATCTTTATAACAAATGTGTCACTCTAGAATGTAGTCATCATTCATCAATATTTATGAAGCCACCTGTATTTCAGAGAGCCCATAGTGCATTTTCAGCCCTTTGGTCAGATAGTCACCTGTTTGAAACATCCCTAAAGTTGCAGGAGTTAAAGGTTACTATTTTGTAATGGATATGGTTCCCACAGGAACTGCTTGGCATTTCCAATGTTGCATGTCATTAATGGTTAGCCATACTTTTTGAGGAGCTTGCAGACTGCAAAATGCAGCAGCCTGCTGAGACATGGCAACATCTGTAAGTGTCATCCCCAGCAGCACGAACCCAAATTGTGTAATTTATAATCATTTTTACTATGCATGTGTTGCTGGCATAGAGAATTTAAAAAGACATGAGGTGCAATTTTTATGATTTCTGAACTTGTAGGGAACTTAGTCTATTCTATGCAGCATTAAAACTTTTTTTTTTTTTTTTTTTTACTTTTTGGGCAGTTTCAGATAAAAAAAAGCTGTTCTCATTTTAAAGTGTTTTAGGATGTTTTAGTAGAAAATGCGAGTTATTACTACCAGTATTACTTTGGATACTAGTATCCAGCTCCTGAGCTTTCTTTCTAAATTATGTGCTGCTGCTGTAGCTCTTGCCTCTCTGTACCATTTACTTGGAACTGTGGCAATTTCCCCAGTGTGCTGGAAATTTCAAAATGCCACCATATGTAAGACCAATACATAAGTGATGCTGAGAATTACATAATGATTGTGTGCACTAACAAACATGACGTACTTGGGGTAATTCTCATTTCCTGGAAAATATGTCTGACCAGGAAGTTCTTAGGGTTATTAAAAAAGATTGACCACCATTTCCCACCAGTTAGCTATGTTCAAAATAGCTGTTAGCTGTTCCAAACAGTGCCCAACAGTAGATGCTAAGGGAAAAGTTTGAGAGCAGAAACATGAACTGATAATTCGCCAGAAAACTCTTACCAACCTGTAGCAGCTTGCAAAGAAGGGAATTTGGCTCCAGAAGTAGGGTCATTGTATTCGATAGTCTTCAGTAGATCTCCCTATTGTGGAATTTTACACTTGCTATTTGAATTCTCATGCTTCTGTGATCTCTACTGTTCCCTGACAAGTTTTACAGCGAAGTATGCAAGATGTTTCAGGTTTACCTTTCTTTTTGTGAAACTGATGCACCACCTACAGGCTATTTCCGTGGATTACACTCCAGGTTTATGAATTCTTTGTTTTTTTCCCCCCTTACTCGTAGTATATGGAAACAGTAGCAAATGGCTATCTTGATTACGGAGAAGAGCAGCATAATGTAGACAAGTTGGTCAACATGACATGTAAGTGTTAAATTATAAGGAGGCTTAAAAGGTTTAAAATACTTGAGATGGTCACTACGTAGAATGTTACTAGATTTACTGTAGACATCATCAAACGAGTGAAAACTGAAATTGCTGTGGAAAAGCACATCTTGGTTTTATACATAAGAAGTATTTCTTTAAGAAATTACTGCCTTTTTATGCACTGAAATAACAGTACAATGAGCTGGTCATGGTTCAAAGAATTTATGCAGTGTTTTACTTTATTATCTGATTGGTAAAATGAAAAATATTAAGTGGTAAAACTTCAATTGATGTGACTTCCTTTGTTCCATAGACATTTTCCAAAAGCTTGCTGCTGTTAACAGTCAAAGAGAATGGGTTATAGCAAGCAGAGCACATAAAGTAAGTGTTTCATAAAATTCTAATTATAACAAATTAACTACATAACTGAGTGACTAATGCTTTTCAGACTTGATCTAGGTGAGAGTAAATTTCTTACCTTGTCAAGCTTGTAAAGTCAGATAATCTCAGTTCTATGTTTTACAGAAATATGAGTAGTAATAGTTTCTTGTATGTAAGCTAATTGCCCTGATGTGTGGTTATTGGTTGCTTGAGATAAATATGTCACAAACGTTTGGACTAAACTCCTTCATATAAAAATTAGTACTCATATTTACACTGTCCTGGCTACACGTTACTATGATACAAATAGTTTTATATATTTTAAAAATATAAATACATTTTTATTTTTACATAGATTTCTGCTATGATTTTTCAATTATGAAGTGTTCTGTGTCCAAATGGAATAGTGACAGCCTAGGCATCCCTACACATTACTCTCGGTCTAAGGATCTATACTTAATCATTGCTGATTTGTGGCCAAACTAAGAAACAATAGAGATGAGGATCAGCTAACTAGTGCTTTGTGATTCCGTTATTCTCCAGTAAAACATTGGCAGTTGTGATCAGATAGTACCACAGAACATATTTTTAGAGAATCTAAACAAATATGAAGTTTACTTTGATATGAACCATTGACAGAATATAATGCAGAACCTTAAATTACATACAATATTGTTTAAATATAAGCTAAAAATCAACTTTTTGCTTCAGAAGGCCTTAATTTAGAGTTCCATAGTGTTTTACACAGGAAGAAATTTTTACAATGGCATATTAAGTTGGACAGATGCTTTAGCAGTCAAGAGAGATACTAATTGCATTTGAGAATAAACATCCTTGCTTGTCCTAAGACTGGGTGTATTCCAAGAGTTTAAATGTATATTAAAGTCTACTTTATATGTTCCTAAGATTTTTAGTATATTGTGCAACAATTTGGTATCTTAATTTGACTTTTCAATAAATAGTTATTTGTGTGCTTGAGTCGTAAAAGAAAATAATGTAATTTATTTATCTTGATTCATGTTTCATTTTCCAGACCTTGGTAAATTTGTTATCTGCCAGAGACAACAATGTGCTTTTAGGTGCCCTCCTTGCTCTGACTAGTCTAGCAGAAAGGTAGGTTCAACTCAGTGCTGTAGTTCACAATAAGCATTTTGATGTTATCTCTTGAACAATAGTGAAACTGCTGTTTCTGAGGAAGACTTCTTTTTTTTTTTTTTTTTCCTTCCAAAATGTGGCCTTGTTCTGTGGAGATCTATGACAAGTGCTTAATTTTGTACTAATGTAATAAAAACTAAAGAGAAGTCCTTGCAGCAAATTTCTTGCTCATGTGGAAGACTTTTAAAAGGCTGGAGTCATAGAACCTCTGTTTTCAATCCCTGTGCAGGATTCTGGAATTCTTACTGACTTCCTGAATATAAAAATCTTTTATGCTGACCTTAATACAACAGTGCCTCAGAATAACCAGCAAGAATATTGTTCAATGTAGTAAATAATGAATGCATACACTCAAATCTGTGTATACGTATCCTCTCTTCACTAATGGTTGTTCTTAAATAAAGAGTAGGATTTTTTTTTTCCTGGTGTGGAGGGAAAAAAGTAAAAGGAAAATACAGCATCTTTCATCCTTAACATTTTTATAGAAGAAAAGTTACTGCTTCTGCATTATTGTGCTGCTGACTTCCAGATTTCTACAACAATTTTATCTTTTAAATGAAAAATTATAAGGAAAATTACAAAATTAAAGAGCATACATACAATTCCTTGAGATCAGTAGGAATTTATTTATGAGATTTCACTGGATTTTCTCATTTCCTAAATTTCTTTCATTCTACTACAGTTCATTTTTTTTTTTTGAGTTTAATTTAAATGATGTTATACATTAATTTTTAACTTTCATTCAGCTTTCTTCAAAGAATTAAATGTGTTATATTTGAACTAGGCAGGAAAGTGTTTGGAGTATATTATAAATATTTATGTAAATTTGGTTGATTTAAAAGATTTCTAGTAAGAAACAAATGAAATGAACATTTGTGTCTTTAGTTTTATGCATTCACACTTACTTTTTTGTATTGGGAAAATTGGATATTGTTGCACAGTCACTCTTGACACAGCATATATTTATGCCTTTAAATATTTGTGTGTACAATATGATATTATTACTTGAGAAAAAAATAACTGATCAAATGTATAAGGAGGGATGCTAAAAAGCAATGTGTTTTTTTTTAAATACAATTTCATTTCATATAAATGCCAGGAATAATCACTTTGTAGTCCAGAATGTAGGGAGAAGATAAGTGAGCTCAGCATTGTTGAGAATTTGCTGGTGATACTGCGTGAATACGATTTGCTTTCTAAAAGGTGAGACTTCGCTTGTGGATTAATTGTTTTAAATTTATTTTAACTTTTTCATTTAGGAACATGTTTATTTATAGGAATTATTTAATGTGCCACTTTAATATACTCAAGGTAAAGTTCTGACGTGTGTATTTTGAATCAGGTACTGATACAGCAAAATCTTTTCTAGTAGTTTTGTTACAAGCTGTGTCCCCTCTCTTCACTGATGGCCTACAGTGCAGTGCAAATAATTTGTTGTGTTACCATAAAGTGATAGCAGGTGCTTTGGAGTGGTCACATCTCCTTTTTGCTCCTGGCAGACCTAAGCGATTAGATGGAAATCACACTGAATTCTGACAGCTCCTGGGATGCCCCATATAAACTAGTAAAAAAATTGCAAGACAAATAGCTGTTGCAGTTTATGGCAGAGGCTGGGTCAGACCCCACATCCCTTTAGTCAGAAAATCATAAAGGTTCCTTCAGTTCTTTAGGTAAGACTGCAAGCTGAGCATAGTGTATCTGCATTTCAGTAAGAAACCAAAAGACCCTCAGATTTGATAATACGTCATTTATATATCACATTTAAAACTATTTCTTAAATTTCTGCTTAATCATTTCACACATGTAAATTATTTTACATATGACTAAAGAGAAAGGAATTGAACATAGCAAAAGATTTTATTTAGTTTCTGAGTATGAAATTCTTTAGATTAATGTAAAACGAAAGTTTGCTATAGATTTGGAATTTGAATGTAAACAGGAAATGGATGAAGTTCAATGCTACTTAAGAATAATCTTTAATATGTGAATCTGAATTGTTATGTTTCATCAAACACATGCAGCTTTATTTGCTTCAACTGGAAGTGGAAATCTCTAACCCTATTTCTATGCAAAGTTCACCTTAATTGGGGTGAAGTTAATGAAAATCTTGTATAAAATATTGAAATGATATATCCAATCCCCTTTCTAAACCTAGTATTCAAAACATACTAGAGAAGAATCACAATTATCTGTGGAATTATTCTAATTCCGTAGACAGACTTTACAAGTCAATGCCATCAGTGCTCCTGGTAGCATTAATGCCATTAAGAAGGTGGTACCTCAGATGACTGCAGTCCACCTGGCCACCTCCCATCCTGGCTGTGTATGCTTGGCTGCCTATGCTGATAGCCAAACTCAGTGTAAATATAAATTTATCCCTCCTGAAAGTTGACCTTCTTTTTTATTTTTACAGTGTTTTTACAGTTTACTGTGACTTTAAGCACGTTTCCTTAACTCCTTTGCTTTTTATTATTGTTATTATGGGAGGTCTCTGTTCTTTCTTCAACATTTGCTGTGGGTTTTTTTCCCCTTTGCTAACTGACAATATGAAGTAATGATGGAGTTATTGTTAAAAGTGCTTGATGATTTCTTTTTTTTTAGGCTTACAGCAGAGTTGTTACGTCTCCTCTGTGCAGAGTCACAGGTGAAAGAGCAAATAAGAATGTATGAGGGAGTTCCAGTCTTGCTCAGTTTACTCCATTCTGATCATATCAAACTTCTATGGAGTATAGTTTGGATTCTGGTACAGGTTTGTGAGGATCCTGAGACTAGTGTGGAAATCCGGATTTGGGGTGGAATCAAACAGCTCCTTCATATTTTACAGGGGTAGGTTTTCAGTCCTCAGCATTGTGGCAATTGTATGAGACAGTTTAATATTTTACGATATATTTGACCAAGTGCTGTTTTATCAAGTAGCATCTTTGTGTTGCTCAGCTGTATGTGATGTCTGCAGAAACTATGAAGCTATTTATAACATAATGAATAATTAGTGTTTTTTTTCAGCTATGCGTATTTCATTGTTATCTAAAATGGTTTTAATGTTTTCACTGTATAAACAATGAGTAATGATAAATGTCATTACTGCCTAATTAGATTTCCTATTAATCAGACACCTATTTCATGCGCTAGAATAGTGCATATAATTGATGAATGTGGTAAAGGAACTTTATGTTTAAAGGCTTGTTTGATTTTTCAAAGTGTATTAGCTATTTTAGTGGAAAACCTCTAAATCTTTAGAACTTCAGAAACAGTTAACAAAGGTATGTTAAGTCTTTTTTTTACACTGCAATTTGTTTTGATTTTTTTCTTTCAGGGACAGAAATCTTGTTTCTGATTGCTCTTCAGTTGGAAGTCTATCCAGTGCGAATGCAGCACGGAGAATACAATATTTTCATTTGTCAAATGATTTGAGTCCTGATGAGATGCAAGAAAATACTTTCTCCCTTCAAGCAGGTAGGTTTATATGGCCTAAACCTCTTTCATGTGTGCACAAAGGTATTATAAATATTTCAAATTTGAAATGGTAAGATTTGATACCTGCTTTAGGGAGCAGGAGCACCAAGTCAGCTGTGTTTATTTCCAAATGTGCAATGCCAGCACATGTTTTCAAAAAGCACACTTTTTCTAGAAAGAAGTAAAGGATGAAGTACTAATTACATAAAGATTTCTTTCACCTGTAAACATATCTCAAACATATATATATGTTTTCAATTCTGTAGCCTGAGATAATTTTTATTTCATCATATTTTTGCCTCTATTTAAATTTACTATGTGTCATGGTTCAAAACCAGCTGGTAACTCAGCACCATGAAGCTGCTCACTCACTCCCTCCTTCTGCCTCCCTGGGCAGGGTAAAGAGAATCAAAAGTATGTAAAACCCAGCCCGACCTGAGTAGTGATCTGCCCTTCTGGGTAACTCCCCCCAGTTTATATACTGGTGATGACGTGCTGTGGTATGCAATATCCCTTTGGCTAGTTTGGGTCAGGTGTCCTGTCTCTGCTTCCTCCTGGCTTCTTGTGCCCCTCCTCACTGGCAGAGCATGAGACTGAAAAGTCCTTGGTTGAGGTAAGTGATACCGAGCAACAACTAAAACATCGGTGTGTTGAGGAGGAGAGTGAATGTGCAGCTGGTCGGGCATTTGGCCCTTAGCTAATGTTAACCCACCACACTATCTGAATGTCTGTTTGAATCTGGCCCTAAACGTTATATCTGAATTTTTATTCTAGCCTGTTGTGCAGCAATTACTGAGCTGGTGCTCAATGAGACTAACTCTTACCAGGTTGTACAGGTAAGAAGAAGTTATTCAATTAAGTAAATCATTAGAGCTTATAATTTGACTTAATTGTTTTAATTTGTTGCCATAATTTGATTAACAATATGCATTTGAAAGGTATTGGAAAATATGATTTTCTATAACTTTAGTATCTCTGTTTCTTTATACATTTGCACACAGAGACATAGGCAGAAGACATCAACATATGTATCTAGCTGGAAGAATAAACAGCCTTATTCAGACAAGGTTAATTTTGGCATCTCTTGCCATGCTCTTGCCATATTCAAAATAGGAGTAAATAAGAGTAATAATGGAATTAACTGAGAAATAAAAATTCTGAATTTCATGAAGTTTATTAAAACAAAATCTGTGGAGCTTATATTGGCACATTGTTGTTTCACAATTTGTCTTTTCCTCAGAGTATTTATTTCTGCCATAGCTTCTGCACTCTATCCCCAGGGTTGTGTTTCTAAACCTCATTTAAAATGTAATATTTAAATCAGCTAGAACCTATGGTTCTGCAAACTATTCTGAAAATCCTTGGTGTGTATTCCAGACATAGACAAAGACACACATATATAGGACATTAATATCAGTTCATAGCTGTAGCCAGCTCTCATACTTTAAATGTTGGTGATCAAAGCCTTCAAGTTAGCTTATAACCCAGTTAGAAGTATTCCTAGGGGAATCAAGAGAACAAAAAGCCTTATATATGACCAGGAAAGAAGTTCATATATATCAAAACTGTTGGTTCAGAGGAAAGGAATGGAAGTAAGTCTGGGGAAAATAAAAGGAAGTGTTTTCTGTATATCTTTAGCACTACAATTGCCAATAACCATACTCATTTAGACTTATTTAAACTGGGTAACTTTTGAAAATAATATAACTCCTGGAGGACTTGGGAAGTAAAAAGCTGGTTTTAATACAGTTTTTCTGCATTGCTGTAGCAGTGCATGACAATGGTGGTGTCAGTAAATGTCTTACAAATTGATGTGACAATATGCAGGCTGGAAAAATGTGTTCCAAGCTCAACTTCTCCCACTTATCCTGTTAAAAGACAATGATCTCCCCATTTGTCAAAACACCAGTCAGTGCGCTCCTTTCAGGTCAGGACATAGCTTCAAGCATGTTCATCTCAACTGGAGTTCCACCCTACAACAGTCTCTTTAATTTTAATCCTACTTCTTTCTCTGTGATAATGAAACTTTGAGAGTTCCATGATGAGTGAGATGAAGGAACTCAGGTTAAAAGCAGATAGATGAGGAAGATTTGCACCTCTTTCAGTTATGTGCTGAAAAAGTCAACCAATATGACCTCTAAAGGTTTATCTCATACAGTGGCAAAGTTAGCTTCTGCTGTGTCTGCCCTCTACCTGTTCATCCTGTGTTCTTTTTTCAACTTACAACTTCAGGAGTAGTCTGCAGCAATTCTGGTATCAGGGCAGAATGTGTTTATGACTCAATGGCTCTACTGCACAGCCTGAAATCTTAGTTTAACTCTATCTTCATGGGTTGTTTAAGAAAGCATGTCAGGAACTGCAGCAGAGCCTCTGCAGAGCTGACACATTGTGCTGGTTCCCTTCAACTCAGCTAGAGAGAAGAGTAGTCTTCAACAAGGAGCTTGCCAAGCAACTGGGAGCAATACTATAAATCTGCCAGTGCCCATCTATCAAGCCAACACAGTGGATACATTAATGGGGAAGACACATGGTTACATGAAATTGGAAGCTGAAATACAGGGTGGTTTTCACAAAATCCTACTGAAGGTACAGACATACTCCTCAGGCTATCAGTTCTGGTGTTTCTCCAGTTTCTATTTATTGAGACTGGATTTTTGGTCTCTGGCAATTCAAAATATCCACATGGTGATGGCAGATCTATCTATTGCTGCAATTCCTTCACCTCTAGAGACACAAATATTTCTTCATGATCTGTTTGCAAGCTGTCTTTCCAGTATCAGTTTGAATGTGATGATGACTTAATTCTTATATACATTTAAATCCTTTGAGCTTATAATTTAGGTGTGCTATAGGATGTTGAGAACTTGTCAGTTGGTATTAGCTTCTGATTTATCTGAAGTAACATTGTTTTTCCTTTGTGTGCTATGTATACATACTGACTTTTTTCTGTTTATAGGCAAATGGAATATATACAATAGCAAAGCTGATTTTGCCAAAGAAAGAAAGAAATGCTGAAAACGCGAATTTATTACAGGTAGCTCCCTGTATCCAATTATCATTGCATATTGAAAGCCCCAAACAGTCCCTGAGATTTTTCTTTTATTATTCTAAATTTATTTGAAAGTGCAGTAAAAAAAATAATCTTACTTAAAGGGTGGAAAAAATCCCAACAAAACAAAACCTGGAATAACAAATGTCCCAGGTTAAATAGTGACTCAATTTCTGGTGCTGCGTTCTGATCTACTTTGTTTCTGGCACTTCATATAGTGTAAAGGAAAATGAGTATTTTCCTTGTGATAGCCTTCCCACCATTTTTTCAGGCTGTACAGCATCAGAATTTCTTTTTAGTGTCTTGGTCTTCATTGAAAATCACTGTAGGTTTGACACTATACTAATATCTATTTCTTTCTGAAGAATCTTGCTGTTAAATAAAATACATGAAAACATCACATGAAGTAGAGCAAATTTAAATGTAGGATAAATACAGAGCTAATAAGTATGAGAATGGTTTTTGGGATTGCATAGCAATACCTTCATAAATGTACTGGTTTGTGTCAACTTAGGCTAAAGGTTATCAGTGGTAATTATCTGATAGCTCTTTTCCACCACCTGTGAAATTATGTTGGTGTCTAAGCTGTAGGAAAGTAGTGGTCTAGGGTTCCAGGTTGAGCACAACTGCTGCTGCTCCAGTTGCCCTTCTCTGGGCAAGTGTGAGGTCCTTAGCACAGATGAATGCAGTCAGGTCCCTGTTTCTCACCTGCTCTTTGTTCAGGTGTAGCCCTAAACTAACAGGGCTAAATAGCTACTCACCTATTTTATCAGGTAGACATACCTGGATTGCAAGAAAAGGCATTTCCACAAACAGAAAAATAACTCATTGTAGTGACATCTTTCTCTTTCCAGTTCTAGATTAGGGTTGGAGTGCAGGTTCAGTGCAGCAGGTACCTTTCTTCTGCAGTGAGGTTTGATAGTGCATTTCAGTTAAATCAGCTTAAGGATGAGATGAATAAAAATCTCCTTAGATGCTAAGTGAAACTAACATGGAGTCTAATAAACTGGAGCATATGCTCATTACAGTTGCCTCATACAACTGCAAGGAGCTTAATTGTGCCTGCCGTGGTTTAGATTCCAACAGGATGTGTTGGAATTAAATCACAAAAGATAATAAGCAACTGTAGTTGTCTTAAATATTAAGCTGCGTGAATTAATAGTGGACTCAAAGGTCACATATGAAAACAAAATCTGTTTCAGGCAAACAATAAGAAATGTATTTTTTCACAAAAGCTTGTTCAGATTCTCACCCTGTTATCTGTATTGCCTTAATCATTGTTACTGCTGTGCAGTACAGCTGCAGCTATTGGAATACTCTTTTTTGAATTTCATAGGTATTTTTCTTAGAATTCTTGCAGTGCCAGTGTGGTTTCTTTACTGCTCCACTGTTTGTGTTTTCAATGATTAAATTTTCAGCTTCTTTCTGCCATAATTCCTTAGTGATCTTACTTCACTATTTTAAGGGTAACTGTGATATCAGTCATTTGTCCTGCATATGTACCATATATAAAAATCCTTATGCCTTAACTGAAGCAAATTAACAAATGTTAATTATAAATCTAGTACACACACAGTACTAGAATGTTAACACCATATACAGAATGTTAATTATAAATCATACGCTACTAGTGTGAGAAAGATGAATATTAATCACTGTTTAAAATATCAATTTCATTTTTAATTTTTTTATCATTTCCCTTCACTGATGGGCTTTCTACAGTAAGATCTATGTGTAGTCTCTAAAATGAAAGACTTTCAGGGTAGCAGCTATGGCCCAGATAGTCTGGTTTATTTTGTACAGCTAAGTTGTGGATGTGAGGCTCAGTGGAATGTTAGACATCATAACATCCCAGTCTTCTCTTGTGATGGGGGAATATACTTTGGATTAAAAAAGAAACATTGCCTGTAAAAGAGACAGCTTTGTAGCAGCATTAACATACATTCCTTTTCTGTAAAATTTTAGGTATCTGGCTTCCTTCATCAGTAGCATTTGGACTTTATTTCCTTCATCTAATGCATTTTCTATATATTGAATTTTTTTTTTTTTTTTTTAACATGGGGATTAATTCTGCAGTTAGCACTAAGACACGGTTACCGTTGCTAAAATAGGGGTTATCACACTGGACTGTAGCAGTGTTTTAGTCACTGATGCAATAAAGTAATTCTAAACTATACTAGAGGCGTTTACTATTTGCATTGTTTCAGGTATCAATACCTTATTTCACTTTGGCTTACTTTATACCATCATCTTTGTTTGGTCAGCCATACATGTGCCATACTCTTGACTCTTGGTAAACAGGGTTAAAGATGAGTTGTGTAAAAGCATACTTACTTTACAAATAAAAAAAGATGACTAAGGCTTAAATGTTCCTCAGCCTGTTCTATAGCTTTAGTCACCCACTTTTTTCTCCCCTCTCCCCTCTCCCCCTTTTTTTTTTTTTTTCCTGCTAAATGGCTCTGCCTACTTTTAAATTACAGGAAAAACTTAATACATTTTTACTCTCTTCATTATCAGGTTAGTATCATAATCTGTCTAGTCATTTAAGTACAAAGTTTACCACCATGTGACGTCAAGAGGAATCCTTGACATTTATCAATGGCTTTTCCAATTATGTATAAATTTCTCATTAATTGAAGTATTTTCCTGCTGTAGTGTTACGCTTTCAGAGCCCTGAGATTTCTCTTCAGTATGGAAAGAAATCGGCATATCTTTAAAAGGTATGTTAACAAAATGTTTTGTGAAGCTCCTTTTAAGATAATTGTTTGAAAGTTGTAAATCCAATCAGAAAGACAAGTTTTTAAAATGTTATTTATTTTCAACCAGAAGAAATAGTAGAAATAGGGCAAATTCTGTCCTGCACAGAGTTTCAGTTCACCATTCCTGCATTTTATCAGTGAAAGCTACAAGATATAGATGCTCAGTGAGGGGACTTCTATTGTATGCATACCCGAGAACCTAGCTCTTTAGGGGTTCCTATGCATTACAAGAAGGAACTCAGAAAAACTGACAGCAAGTATAACATAATATACTAGAAGAAAAAAAAACAAAACAACACAAAAATTACTGGAAACTTGGGAGTTGGATTGACTTTAAAAAGGTTTACATTTGTTTGGACATCTGGCATACAAATATCCAAACAATGGAGACTGAAGTCTGACTTTTGATAGGTCCTTTAACTTCTGTGTATGTAATCATAGAATCACAAAATGTTTTGGTTTGGAAGGGCAGAGACACCTTCCACTGGACCTGGTTGCTCTGCATAGGTAACCATAACCTTCAAACTTTTTTTTCCTTAGAATACCATCATTCCTATGTAATGTTAGAGGATTAATATCTGGATAGATCAGTAAAAATAAAGTGCATTATTTATCACGTTCTAAAGTAAGTTGAAATAATAAACACTGAAAAGTCTATGCTATACATTAATAGCCACTATACACTGTTTCTAAAGTAAATTAAAATGTAAATCTTTGTAGACTTTTCCCTACTGACTTGTTTGAAATCTTCATTGATATTGGACATTATGTGCGTGATATCAGTGCTTATGAAGAGTTGGTATCAAAGCTAAATTTATTAAAGGTAAGTAAAAACCTCTGTAAAAAGCTATATTCTTTGCACTTTCTTAGCACAAGAAAGGCATGACATTCTTCTATTTATTTACTTGTAATTTAATTTGTAACCAGGAAGATGAATTCAAGCAAATTGCTGAAAGTATTGAGAGCATGAATCAGAATAAGGCACCTACAAAACATATAGGCAATTATGCAGTTTTAGAGCACCTTGGCTGTGGAGCTTTTGGAAGCGTATATAAGGTAAACTTATCTTTTGGTATTAATTTACAGGTTTGAGGGGAGGAGTGGGTCTAATACTTCTTTTAGGCAATACTGTTGTTCTGGTTTCAGCTGGGATAGAGTTAATTTTCTTTCCAGAAGCTGGTGCAGAGCTGTGTTTTGGCTTTAGTCTGGGAGCAATGCTGATAACACACTGATGTTTTAGTTGCTGCCCAGTCGCACTTACCCCAATCATGGACTTTTCAGTCTCATGTTCTGCCAGTGAGGAGGGGCACAAGAAGCCAGGAGGAAGCAGAGACAGGACACCTGACCCAAACTAGCCAAAGGGGTATTCCATATCACAGCACGTTATGCCTGGTATATAAACTGGGGGGAGTTACCCGAAAGGAACAGACCACTTCTCGGGTTGGGCTGGGTGTTTGTCAGCAGGTGGTGAGAAATTGTTTCATGCATCACTGATGTTTACTTCTTTTTTCTTCTCCTTTCCCCTCTTAGTTTTATATTCTCTCTCCTTGTTATTTCTCTTATCATTATTATTATTAATAGTATTATGTTCTACCTTAGTTACTGGACTGTCCTTTTCTCAACCTGTGGGGTTTACACTCTTTCGATTCTCCTCTCCATCCTGGCTGGAGGGGAGAAGTAGGGGGTGAGCAAATGGCTGCATGGTGCTTTGTTACTGGCTGGGCTTAAGCCGTGACAGCCATCCTTTGAATTTCAGTAGGGGAATGCAGATGCAAAGATGCCTTTGTGGATCTGCTGTTAGTATTTGCTGTAATTTTTTTTTGCCCCCTCTTGTATTTGTAAGATTGACCAATGTATCTCTTAGGTTTCTTACTTTCTCTTAATTCCTTTCTACAAACAGAATTTCTGTCTATTGCAGAGGTAAATAATCTGTGTAAAATTATAGAAATTCAAGCATGTTTTATCTGAAAGGCAATACTGGCCACAGATAATGTTACCTCAAACACAAAGTGTACTGCTTACCTGTACTGTAGGACTCAGTTCATATAGCTAATCACATCATGTACAGAAAAAGCCAGGATTGTAACTTTTGTGAGTCAGGTTTGGCCTCTAATAACTGATCTGGTAGCCATAATAATATCCTTTCTATCTCCACCCTATATTAACTTTACAAGGGTTTTGATTTTTTCACAGGTTAGAAAGTGTAATGGACAAAATCTCCTAGCAATGAAGGAAGTCAATTTACACAGTCCAGCATTTGGAAAGGACAAAAAAACCAGAGACAGCAGTGTAAAGAACATTGTCTCTGAATTAACCATCATCAAAGAGCAGGTATGTCTCATGAACTCTAGTTTCATGTGTGAGCATTGTTGTTAGCATTATTAACTGTGAATTCTTATATGAAAAGCTGCCTGGCAGAAAAGACCCTGGGGGTGTTGTCTGACCATTGGCTGACTCAGCTTGTGCCCAGGCAGCCAAGGCAGCCAACAGCATCCTGGTCTGTATCAGCAATAGCGTGGCAGCAGGGCCAGGGCAGTGATCATCCCCCTGTACTGGGCACTATTGAGGCCGCACCTCAAATCCTGTGTTGAGTTCTGGGCCTCTCATTGCAAGAAAGACATTGAGGTGCTGAAGAGAGTCCAGAGAAGGGCAATGGAGCTGGTGAAGGGCCTGGAGCACAAGTGTGATGAGGAATAGCTGAGGCAACTACGGGTGTTTAATCTGGAGAAAGGAAGGCTCAGGGGAGACTGTTTCACTCCCTACAACTGCCTGAAAGGAGGTTGTAGTGAGGTGGGTGTTGATCTCTTCTCCCAAGTAAGAAGCGACAGGACAAGAGGTAACAGCCTCAAGTTGTGCCAGGAAGGGCTCAGGTTGGATATTAGGAAATATTTCTTCACCAAAAGGACTGTCAAGCACTTGAACAGTGCCCAAGAAAGTTGAGTCACCATCCCTAGAGGTATTTAAGAGACCTGTAGGTGTGGTGCTCAGGGACATATTTTAGTGGGACTTGTCAGTGCTAGGTTAATGGTTGGACTTGATGATCTTAAAAGGTCTTTTCCAACATAGTTGATTCTATGATTCTATATTGCAGTGCTTCCAGCTGCTGTTACTATTTTTGTCTGACCACTGCAATATTGGCCCCTTTTACCTGAATGCTGTCAATTTGAAAACCTTCTTACTGCAGCATTAGCAGCAGAACAGATGCCTGTTAGTAAAGATTCTTACTTCCTGTGTTGGTGGTATTTGAACTTTTCAGGGATTCTTTAAATTAAGATTGTGATAGAAAACGGATGAGTCTTTGTTCCATTTAATAAATTCTGGGGCTTAAAATACAAGGAGAAGATGGGATTTTTTGTAATTGAAAATTAAACCCCCAGAGTGATCATTAGTGTTCTTAGGCTAAGAAAACCAATACTTTGATGCAGGTGTCATTGCAAACTCAAACTTCATTTACTCTTTCAATTATTAAGGGAAGAGTGGATAGGAATCATGCTGTATTTTCCTCCTGGTTGTTCTTGTAATGTGCAATGCTTCTCTGTTTGGGATAATAATGAAGGTTTACTGCACTGCAGTTCATAGAAAAGTTTCTGGAATCCTTCATTCCAGTATGCAGCTAACCATTATGAATACTGTGCCATCAGTTTAATCATTCTAAACATCTACATTTCTTTCCTCATTGTAGCTTTATCATCCAAATGTTGTACGGTACTATAGAACGTTCTTGGAAAGTAAGTATAAATGCAGAGAATTACCACAGTATACATAATGAAGAAATAGAAATATAAAATGAAAACGCAACTTGAAAGGAATGTGTCAAATTTCAGCAATAAATGATAAAACTTTCTTCAAGAACTGCTACAGTTCAGACAGGCTTATATTCCTTTAAAACTGAAAAAGTTATGAGACATTACTAGTAAAACTAGATGCAATATAAACATGTAGAAAGCATCATTCTCATCTGATAAAGATCCAAAATTTACACCTGGACTGCTATGTAGGGAGAAAAGCTATAGTGACTAGTTGAATGATATAGATTGCTCAGATTCTTTTGTATAAAGACTTAGCTACATACATGTGCCCACTGAGTGATTTTCATGGAGTGAATTCCTTATAGTTGCTGTGATATAAACTGAGGGAAAAAAAAGAATAACAAGGAATAGAACTGTGATTAAATATATTTGCACAAGTTCTTTTTTAAAAGTAAAAAGAGCTTTTAAAATATATTTAAACCTCAAATATTCTATTGTCAAATGCCTTCTCTATAAATATAATCTATTAATTCATTTTCTTTTATGTAGATGACAAGTTGTACATAGTCATGGAGCTCATAGAGGGAGTGCCATTGGGAGAGCATTTTCACTCTTTGAAAGAAAAGCAACAACACTTTACAGAAGACAGAATATGGCGTATATTTATCCAAGTAAGTGCCTCCATTCTTTTTGTTATCAGGACTTTTTTGCATGAAATTAGTAGCACCATTTATATTTGTTAGGCTAATAACTGACAAAACAATGTTTATTATATCAGGCACTAATATCAGATTTTAATTTAATTTAATGTGCCTTTATCTAGGTTGCAGTTAAGAATATTAATGAGGCCCTTTCTGTTTGTTTTTAAGCTTTGTCTAGCTCTTCGTTATTTGCATAAAGAGAAAAGGATTGTTCATCGAGATCTCACTCCAAACAATGTCATGCTGGGGGATAAAGACAAAGTTACAATTAGTAAGTAGAGCTATTTACTTAAAGAGAATTTCCCGTGATGTGTGTGAGTAGAATTTCTTCACTGAAACTCTCAGAGGTTTTCAGATTTCCAGGCATTGGTCGCCATACTTGGAAGCCAGTAAATTATTGCATTATTATACTGTTGTATAATTGCTAATGAAAATTTTGTGATCATTGTCACCAGGTGTCATCAGCCACAACTATATTTATTACAGACGTGTGTCAAATAAGACAGAGATGATTTAGCCCTAAAAAAATAGACTATAGTTATGCTTCAAGGCCTGTTTTTATTTAAATCATCAAGAATATCTAGATAATCAACTTCAGATAACAAGTCCTAGTGAACATACTAAAATATAACAACCATCTGTTCTATTCTAGTTGTACCATGAAATTGTTTAATATCCATCAGTTGTCCCCAGTGATCAGCTGCAATAAGGTGCTATTTGTCTAAGCTTGTGGTCGTGAATATTCTTGATGTATGCTTCTAGAACCTCCACAGTGTGGAGGAAGGACCCTAGGCAGGTCTCAGGATAGGCTTTGAAAGCAGTATATGTGTGAACAGTACAAAATATGACAAAGTTTTACTCTTTGAGTGAAACAATGCAACTTGGTACACACAGCAAGCCCTACAGCCACTTCAGATACTATAGTTTTTAAAGTTCTCAAAGCACTACTGCATGCTTTCTTACTGCTCATGACACAGAACTAAATAAACAGTTTGAATACTGCTGAATTGTCGTGAGAAGTCTTTATGCAGAAATCAATCTCTATTCTTTAAAAATAACAGGGAAGTATAGTCATATACACACACCCAACCAAAAAGCCATTGGCTAAAATAGGCAAATATATTTAGCAACTGTTGTCTTATTGTAAGTATTTATAGCTGATGATACACATACAAATTCATTTGTTATTAAACCGTATGTGCTAAAAACCTCTGATTCTTAGTGATAACACAGTTTTGAAAGTAGGTCATTTAATGGAGCACTTGTCCCTGAGTAATAGGATATTATTTAAAGGAAAATATCAAATTTTGTATGTGTATCATATTTTGTATTTTGTATCAACAAACTGCCACTGAGGGGCACTCTTGTCCTGATTTAACACCTTAACATTGTCTCTGGTCCGGTCTATGTGTAAAGACGTGTAAATGTACTTTCAAATGTAAGCTCAAAATAGCCAATGAAAAGCATTTATATTTCTGTCAAAGATTTACAGAAGTTGATGAAACTGGAAGAACTGAAGCTTATTTTGATAATTTTGACAGTGATAGATTTAAAACTGTTGCAATATTTAAACAGTTTATTTAGTACTTTATTTATTACCAGCATACATTGATAATTATATTCCACAGTATTTGAGAATTTCAGATGGTTCTAGATGAAAGTTAATATAAAATGTAAGATGATGCTGGAAGCGTATGCTCAAATATTGAGAAATCTTAAGTCTGCCTCTGCAGTGAGTTTAGCCTGTCAGCTTTTATAAAAGGAGAAGGTCTGCTCTAAAATATACTCAGAACTGTAGGTCTGTGTTTGCAAGCTTCACAGTCATTCTAAAGAGAAACCAACTTCAATTTTCTGGTCTTTCAGTTTCAGTACTGTCCAAAAATTGTCTTGATCTAATTGGAGTAATAGGACTATTTATGAAATAGTGTTGTGCAGCTGTGTAATTAAAATATGGCCTCTGATGGTCCGAATTATTTTGCTTTATAGCAGAAGCTTGTATATCTTATAATACTGCTCTTCTTTTTTCTTTCCTCAAGCCGTGCTTCTGGAAGTGGTAACTCTTGTTAATCTTTTGCTATGAAAATCTGCAGGCTGAATAATATAACAAAGGCAGCTTATTGCTCTGTAACAAACATTCTTCAAATGTTTTATTTAGAGAGGTGCCTTAGTTTTAGACTCTCATTGTAGATTTTGATTAAAAAAATAAAATGAGCAATAGACTGGAGCAAAGTGCTTCTATAGGTTAAGGTTCATTCCGTTCTGTGTATGGCTTTGCAGCGGCCCCAAAAATGAACTGCTTTAAGAAATTTCTGGGACTCACAGGTAGGCATTTCTCGCTGTGTAAGAACTGGGCCACTCACATTCCAAATCTCGTGAAGACCTCATACATTTTCTGAGTTTATATTGGTTGAAAAGGAAAGGAGTGCACAATGTAGGAGACATTCCCACCTTGCTGTCAGCACAGAAAAAAATAAACCTGCTGAAGGATGATGGTTATTTGTTCTGAATTCATGGAGAGATGTTCTACACATGGCTTCTGTAGAACAATTCCAGCAGAACTTGGTAGGCAGGGACCTATGGTGAAAGGTAGCTGAAAACTAGTATTCATATAGGCAAAAAGCCTGCAGCTGGCTTGGCACAATGTAAGATTAAGCTATGAGGGGCCTTTTCTAGTGGTAGTCTCTGATATAATCTTTATAGGTTTGACTGAAGAAAAAATATATGAGGTAATAGTGGGAAGAATTTTTGTATCTGTATAGTCACACTGTTACTTTCTTTTTCTTATGTATTGTGTGTGATCAGATGCTATCCTTATCCAGGTTTTTGATTATGGTTTTGTTTTTAAAAGTAGGCAAGACGCAAGTGGAAGTCCTAAGCCCAGCAGGTACTTTGTTCTACTGTGAAGATTGTATAACTTCCTTTGCATTTCCCATGACATCTTTTAAACCTGCCAATTACATCTGAATTATCCCAATCTTTTTCAGGCTCTTTTAAGCTGTGTGTTGTTGCAAATGGAAACAGACATTTACAATCTGATCCTAGCCAAGCCAGTGGTGATACAAGATCTCTTTCTAGCTGCAGAGAACTTTAAGCATGCTGTTGTTATGTGTTCTCTGGAACCCTACTCATCTGTTCTGTTTCATCTCTGACATAAATTTGATAGGAAGTGGGCCATAACAACCATCCCTTATGTTGGTACAGCATTTAATCGTAATTGGTTGAGCTACAAAAGCTGTGAAAACATAAGTATTAAATCACCTAACCTGCAATTTTGTAAAACTTGTCATTCTAAATTGGTAGAAACGTGTTACAAAACTGTACATCTCTGGTCAGGCTAAATGTCTGATTTATCATTTCTGACACACACACACACACACACACACACACACAAAATAGTATTTTAGGCACAGCCTGAAGGAAAGTTGTTTTGTTTAGGGTTTCAGAGATTCATTGAATCCATACTATCTGTGGCTGTCAGTTTAATCTGACCAGCCTTTTCATAGTAGACATTGAGAAGTTACAGTTTTCTGAACTGGAAATGCACATGTACTTTCATCATAGCTGTATTTTACTGCAGATGAATTTTGTTTCTAGTACAGCATTATTTCTGTCTAGAGCTCCATAGCTGCATCTTTTTGTTGGACAGAACAGCAGAGTGTAGATAACCACTTTTCCTCAGTGTCATCTAGCTGCGACAAAATTTAAATCTTTAGGGCCGTGTGGAATCACTCTGACACCTTTCAGCTCTAATATCAAGGAGAATTGTGAAGGGTTCCATACGCTCTTTTGGATGGCTTGCTCTGTTTAATATTTATAATTGTAATGATACAACAGTAGCAAAGAGGATATGTATGGAACCGAAACCCAGGACTGTGTAGAAGCGGAATAATAGTTTTGAGAAAACTCAGCTCTCTGATATTCTTCTAATCATAGCCAGCAAGCATGAAGTGTCAGAATGGTGAAGTGAATGAGACTTGGAAAGTTCAAGGAGTTGTTGGGTGCTTGAAGAAAGCTACCTGTTAACTTTGTAACTGAGAATACTTGTTTGCTGGGTACACTTTTTAAAAGACCTATTGGCTCTTGATTCTGTGCCATGGCCAAAGAAGCAGTGGCCATGAGGTAAAGTTTAACTAGTGTCTATTGTGTGTTAGTCACTAATTTCCTGAGTCACTTGGATCAGTGTTATTTTTTTTTTTTTTTACAGATTATATGGCTCATCTAACTCTTTTTCATTATGAGAATTGCTATCCAAGGAAATGCTTCTAGTACTTAATTTTCAAAGCTTCCATAATAGGCTCAGTGGAATTTTCCACTTGTTTACATTCACATTGTAAATCAATCATTCTGGACTCTATTGGTGGATTAATAGCACAATTGCATTTCTACAAATCTCAGTTCAGATGTGGATCTAGTTCAGAAGTTGCTAGTTCTTAGTGCAGAAGTTACAAGCTTCACAAAACTGACAGATAGTAGACTGAGTTTACAAAGCACTGATATTAGCACACAGAAAGGAGTATGGTAGAATAGCTACATGGTGCATTTGCGAATGATAAGAAATTAATTCTGTTCCCATTCTATTAATGGAAAAGAATAGGATAAGTATGTCCTACTGTTGGTGAAATTGTAAATTATCTTGATCTTAGGATATGCTTTTATAGAAAAAAAGATTAAAGTTCTATTTTAATCTTTCAGATCACTGTAACTTAGTAAGTTGCTGACAAACTTCCTTGATTACGGTTGCAAACTTGTGGAAGAGAAGCAAAATGATTTTTTCTTACTATGAGCCTATCAGGGTAAAAGGAAAATCTGTTCAGTTGGGACACCAAAAATCTGATCTGAGTAGGTCTGAAGTTCATGTGTGTGGTGAATTTGATATTCCACTCAGGCTCCTTTATTGCTTTGATTTTGGTATTCATGTGCACATTTGATGTTAGGAAAAAATAATGGCATTTTCAAACAGGGCTGAAATATAAATTGAGGGAATGAGATCAGTGCTGTTAAGATGCAGTACCTGTAAAATCTCTTGGTTTTACTGTAGAAGATCAACCTACTAGGTGAAATCTTTGGGAAATAAAATGGCAAATGAAAAAACAGATTGTGTCAAAAAAGAGAAAAAAATCTATTGCAGGTACCTAAAATACTCATTTTAAGAAACTGCAAAGATTTAGAAGGTTTTTGTGATTCAGAGATGAAAGTTGAATATATCATTCTGTAGCAGGTTAGGATACTAGTCAATTCAGCCTACATTATTTTCATACTTCTTTCTTCCCTTCATGCTCTCTCCCCTGGCATGTAATGTTTTCTGAAATAATTGTACTTCATTATCACTTACCCTGAACAAATTGTATGTAAGTGTGAAAACGAGTGAAGAAGGGTGTTTCAGAATCTAGAGGATTATAACTTCACCAGTTAGTGCAATTTTTTAATTCCTATTTGAGGATCATCTTGCAGGATTGTTTGACTATTTTTTGATGAATTAAAAAAAAAACAACCAAGCAAAAAAACTAACGACAACAACAACAAAATTCAAATCAAACCCCCAAATGTTTGGTTTTCTAGGTTCCTGATATACAGAGGAAAAAACCCTCAAGGCTTAATGTTTACAATCACAGTGCAAAATCTAGTCAAATATAATAATGCTGTAGGAGATATGACTATTAGTAATGAATTACTGTCAAAATTGCATGTCTAGTCATAGATTATAAAGATCCCTGTAATGATGAAAGTTTGTTAGTTTTTTGTTGTCTTTGAACAGACTTAAAAATGGTGGATACATCTTTCCATTGCTGCTATTAAAGTGCCAAGACTGCTTCCACATGGTTTTATTTCATCTGTGCTACAAAATAAGCAGTGTTTTTTATTTTTGTTTGTCTGCTTGTTTTTTTTTTTTTTTTTGGTTCCCAAAGGAGTGATTTTGACTTTTCAGGAAGGTGGGACGACCTAACAGTCAAAATGGGGGTGTTTGTTATTTTGGGGGGATGAGGGAGTTGCCTTCTTAATGCCAGTTTTATTCCTGCATTGCAAGAATAGAGAGGGTGACAAGTGGTAGACAATTCAATGATTTTAGGACTGCAGTATCTGGTCTTGGACTAGATAAAAGCAGTGTGAAGCTAGCCTAGAAAAAGGGCTGAGCTAGACTCATCAAGATACAAGTGCCAGATGAGCTGGTTTCCTTTCCAAAAACAGTTCAAGAGAGGGGTAGGACTCATCTTTTTTATGGCAGTTACTAGCACATCTTTCTCATAGAATCTTGCTCTGGATCACTAGAATGGGTTTATAATTTTCTCTTTGAATGAACTGATTCAGCATGTATTTCTGCATCCTGATGTTGTCAGCAGCTAGGTGGCTCTCCCTTTGTGTTATCTCTTTGCTTTTACCAGCCTTTCTTTTGGTTTATCTCATTTACTGGTTTACAAAGCTTTTACTGGCCTTCTGAGTATGATTCTCTAAGGGCTTTTCCATTTTTCTCTGGCCACCTTAATTCTACTGATATTTATCATGATTTGTCAGCATTGATATAGTTCCTTCCAGTAAGTACTCACAATACTTCTGTTATTTGGTAGATTGCTTTCTTTTCTGTGAGAATGGAAGCAGCAGGAAAATATTTGGCAGCTGTAAGTTTTGTATTTCATTCTGAAACTGGTGAAATTCGTGTCCAGATGCATCTGTATTCACACAGATATGTGTGAATTGATAAGGTCTAGTTTCTGAAGAAGGGCCCTTTCCTGTACTTAAGAGCTATGCCTTAATGCAAAAGGTACCACTGGATGAATTAACTGTAGTAAACTGAGATGGTTCAGGAAGAATATTTTCTTTAACAAGTAGGATTTTGAATTTCAGAAGTGACCAATCAGGTCATGACATAAGAATCACTAGATCAGCTCTAAGGTTTATGTAGGTCTCTCTCTGTACTAAAAGCTGACACTTGGGTAAAGTTCACAAAAAGCTGAGCAAGTATTGAGTTTTCTTTCTCTCACAATTCAATTCCAGCTTCTAAAAGACATAGTGGTATGGTGTGAAGCTATTTCAGGAAATTGCCTAATATGAATTGCCACCATGGGTCCTCATCAATCAAGCTTCAGTTCACAACTGAAACAGCGCATACCAGTTAATAGGGATCATCTTTATATTTGGTTACATTTTCATTTAATAATATGGAATGCAGGTCTCTTGCAGTTCTTAGAAATGATTTCTTTTATTTGTTTGCTATTGTAGCAGTTTCTGGCATCAAATGCCAAATAAAGAATCCTGGAGTATTAAAAGTTGTAGAGCAATTTATAAGATGGAGACAGATGCCTAAATAAGTTAAAAAAAGAAATTTAATTAGCAAGATATAGTTCCTTTTCATTCAATTCTGTATTATGGGCTTGAAAAGGCTTAGGAAAAATCATTTATGTTTATAGAATCATAGAATGCTAACGGTTGGAAAGGACCTTAAGATCATCTAGTTCCAGCCCTCCTGCGATAGGCAGGGACACCTCCTACTAGACCATATTGCTCAAGGTCCTGCCCAATCTGGCCTTGAACAAAGGCCTTCCTGCTAAAGAAAAGTATCTCAGAGGTGTAATTTGTCTAAAATTGCATACCTTTTTACTATGGAACAAACTCTGACTTATAAATATGCAGGGATTAAAGACTATGCTGTGGAACACAACTGGCCCAACAGCATGTAGAAGGGATTTTAACTGAGAACGAAGCCAAAACAAGACACTGGGATCAGTAGTTTGATGTGAAGCTGATTGTCCCGTGCTTTGCATTTGTTAGCTCTGGCAGTGTCAGTTGTATTTAAGAGCTTCTTGCTCTTAGCAAGATGGCTTAGCAGAATTTGGAAAAAAAGTTATTGCCTGTGAAATGTTCTTTTCCCCTCCATTTCTGAGAATCGGAGCCTAAAAGACAGACAGTATATTTAACCCCTTTGGCTGATCTTGCCCTTGCTTTCTTTTTTTCCAGGTAATCATTAATGTTGTATTAAAATAGACTACTTCCAGGAACAAGATGTCCAGCTTTCCTCTTTTGTTTCCTAAATCTTTCAAGTACCAGGAACTTAATTTATTGATTGATGTAATGTCTTAATACCCTTTCTTCATAGGCTATTATGTGAAGGATTATGAAAAAGGGAATGTAGAATGATTCACCCCTATTAACTCAAGGAAGTATCAACATTGTAAAAACCTCTGGTCCTTTGGGGCTTAATATTTCCTGGAGTGAAATGTCTTAACTCAAAGACAACAGGGAGGCTTCTCAGGGATCCTGTTGATTTAGCATTCTTTCTACCTACATCTTCCAGGCACTGCAGAGCTAGTTCTTCTTTGAACATTTTGTTAAAAAAAATGACCTGTGGCCTGGGTATCTACATTTGGCTTTCTTATCAAAGTCCCTTTCTGAATAAGAGATCTTCTCCTCTTCAGACCCTGAGGCTCCCACTGAGCAAGAGCAAACAGAAACTATTTTTTCTTACCTATGTTTCCTCTGCTCTGCAGCTTTTTTTTTTTTTATGAATACAAACATTTTGAACTAAAATTTTTGTGAACTATTTCACTGCATGAACAATTGGAATGAGGATGGGCTGTGGGCTCTGTCCAAGTAGAACAGGACCCTTAAAATATTTTAAACAATATTATTTACCACACAAATCTTCCTACTTCCAAAGTAGTATTACAATGCAAGATTTATTAACAGACTTTAACAAGCACAATGATTTCCTCTTACTCTCTGTGCAATGTATCTTAGCTGCATTGTTGCATTGAGGCAGCCGTAGAGTACTGAATTGAAAAAAATGAACTGTTTGCAGGGAATTGAGATTAAAAATATAATCCCTAACGATTGTGTGTGGCAGTTTTGTGAAAGACTACCTGCTAATTACACAAAATGCGCTTATATTAACATAATTACATAATCTTCGAAATCTGCAGCTTTTGTCACAAGGTAAGGCTACAATTCACCATTATTTCTTTCCAGAAGCAATCTTTGAGCATGAACTGTTCAGGTATTAGACCTTCGCCAAACTCCTTTGAAAGTCTGTCCTTCCTAGCTGTTGTAATTTGAAGGAAAGCAAAATCATTACTAACTTCATTACATAATTTTTTCCATTAACTTGGTCTCTAGATCACTGCTTATTAGATATTTAAAATTGTCATGCTGTTTATTGGAATATATCAATGGAAACCTGAAACTGGTCATATAGTTTGAATTACAATTGATCAGAGGTGTGTTTATAATATCTTTAAAGCTCGTAGGCCTGGTTCAAACAGAAGTTGTTGATTAATATTTAGATAGGAAGACAGTATGGTGCAGTGCTGCAAATTGTAAAAGATGATACAAAAACACCAAACCTCCCTTCCACCCTCTCCCAACTTTTCAGGTGTTGTGGATGAGCACCAATTGTCATGCAGAGAGGGTGGTTATTGACATCTGAATCTTTTTTATTTATTGTAGCTGACTTTGGTCTTGCAAAGCAAAAGCAAGAAAATGGGAAACTTGCATCTGTAGTGGGAACCATTCTGTACTCATGGTAAGTACACCTGCATACAACATCCAGTCCAGTGACATCCATCTTAATGGTTACTTTTTTGAGCAGGCAGACAAGTTTCAGTCGAGTAAGGAGTAAGGTGCAAGCTGCCCACCCACAGCTACTATGCAGTAAGTAGTTGGTTGCCTACCTGTTTTTCTGTTGCCTATGGTGGTTACTGTGGGTTAACTTGGTGCAAAACTGAAGTAACTGTGGTTGTGTAGTAACTCATTCATCCATCTTTACACTTAAAGAAATGTGTTTTCAAGTTCTAAAAAGATATATGTAAACAATAGAAATTAATTTTAAAGGCTTTTAATGTAATTGTGGCTTCAATGTTCAGCTACATTTTATGTGTAGACAGTTTACCTTCTGAACTATTTGTTAATGGATTTGTTTTGTATCAGTAGGCATTTGGTTTTAGTAAATGAACTGAAAAAAATATTTTCTGCAGTTTGAAATTTTCAATGGTGGAAAAGCACGACACACATTGTTTGAAATTTAAGCTTAGTAAATACATAAATGACTGCTCTAAACCTTTGCCTTAGACAATACATTATTCAGTCTGCTGAATGAGATGCAGTTTCCTTTGGCATCCCATCTGCAAGCAAGCCAAAGCGAGGAACCATTTTGTGAAAAATTGCTGTACTGATATAGCTACCTAGGTTCCTAGATTACTACTGCCTTGTGTTTTGTTTTCTCAAGAGCATGGAATACAAAGCATTTCCTATCCAAACGTTCTCCTCAATATGTAAACAGTTTACACAATTGAGAGTATTATATGCATATCAGGTTCTCTCAAAAGTAATTGTGGTCAGGTCAGAGTATGGATTTTTGTGTTGCATGATGGATAAATAGCAAACATGCCTGTTAATTGAGGTTATGGTATTGTGAACAAAAGGGAGCAAATGTAATCTGGGTAAAAATCCAAATTGTGGCAAGCGCAAGCTCAGTATTCAACTAATAGAAGTTGATGTGTTCTGGCCCTGCCATTTGAGCTGAAAGTTTCTGTTAATTGAAATGCTAACATCAGAAATCAATTAAGGAGTTGCTAATCTGGATCTCTCCATTTGCAAAATTAAAACTTTGCCAACCCTACCCTAACTACTGCTTTATTAAGGAAATATGTTTGCAATATGTTCAGCTGAAGCTTTGCAGATCCAAATATTCCTTGTTCCTGCATGGGTTTGCTCCAGATTCTTTTAACGCCTTTTTATGTACAGCTGCTGTTCTCTCTCTTCAGGGTCACTCTGTTGCTTCTACTCAGTGTTGAGCTTGCTTAAGGTTAGAAGTTGGTTTCCTTCTTTTAGTGACTTTCTGGTTCTCTTGTTCCCACTACTATAAATTGCCACTTCTAGCTCCTGTAAATAAAGTGAAATTTATTTGGCATAGGGAATAGAAAAAGAAAACTACAATGAATGACACATAAACAAACCAAGAATGTTGCACAGCATGGAGGGTATAATTTTGTTTCCTGTTTTCATCAGAATTTTTAATTTACAAAATACACACTAATAAGCAGAAAAACCTGTTAGAATGTTATATCCTAAGTAAAAACTGGAAATGCTTTCATCCTAAATTTCTTGTAAGACCACTGCACTGGCTGAGGCACTGACAGTATGTTTCTCAGCAGTTTACAGGCATTTTTGATGTCAGTCTTCTTCAATCTTCTTTTCTGCTGTGGTGACCACATGTGATGGCCACATACTTTCAAGATTGCTTGGCCTATGTGGCTGTAATAAGTAGTTAAAAGTTCCAACCTACTGGGGGAGCTACTGATGGCTCCTCTGAATTCAAAGAGAGAGTCAAGAACTCAGGTATTCTGCAGTCGAATGTAATTCATGTTGCCACTTTTGAGATTGCTACTTGTAATTTCCTAGTGACAGAATGATAATGTCTGACAATCCCTAGAAATCATGAAATCATAAAATGGCTTCAAGAGTGAGTCCTTGTAATGTATATTACACCTTGAAGACTAATGCTTATGCTGCTTTTTAGTGAGAAAAAGTAAGTTGCTTGGGAGGCTGCCTCAACTGGGATGCTGCAGTCAAAATACTCCTGAAGCATAGCACGGTGATATGTTTGAAGCATAGCATAGTGTGTATCAGCAGATTGCACTGCTGATCACTGTGCTATCAGCAGAGTGATAGTTTGGGTGGTTAAGTGTAGCAAAAGTTTGGTGTAGCTAGTTATGTGCTATGGTTTTCAGCTCCTCTGAAATAATTGATTTGTTTTGTTTAGTCACATTCGGGCAGAGAAGCTGTTGACAAGAAGTTATTGTGCTCCTTTGAACAACTGTTATGGGTGAACTGTCTGCGAATTAGATTAGTCTTTAGAAGTGTCAATTTCCAAACCTGCCACTGATGTCTGTGGGTCTTCTCACATTTTGTAGGAAATTTTTATTAGATAGTAATGTTCTGTAGATTGAAATACTCTTTTAATTATTATTGTCTTGGTTTTATCTTTGTTCATACCACATTTATTATCATTTATACCCTGTGTTTGTGTATTGAAGTTCATATCAGACCTAAGACTTGGCACTTCTTTTTCTACCTCTTTGTCCAATTATTTGGATGTAAGCATGAGGAGAAAATACTACTTGCATGTTTTAGTCTCTCAGTAAGTGGCCTTTTGGGACACTACTTGTCAGTTCTGTTCCACAAGCAAAATCATGGAAGCAGTGATCCTTGCCTGTCTGCAGTCAGAAAAGAGAACAAGAGTACTTTACTGATGTTTTTGTTTTTAAAATGTATGCTTGAGTATTATCTAAAATGACAGGCTAAAGCATTAAAGTTTCCACAGTCATAATAATTTAAGAATGTTAAAAAGGCTTTGCAAGCTGCTGAATGCACTGGATGCTATCCTTCAGGGTACTTGGCTAGTACTGTGTGTGACAGTGGGCTTTTTGATATAGAAACCTGCTCAAGGAGTGAGGTGAACTGTGTGACAGTGGGCTTTTTGATATAGAAACCTGCTCAAGGAGTGAGGTGAACTGATTGAGAATTTTAACACAAGTCATGAAGCATATAGACAAGTCAGAGGCTATACACTTGATCAGTGCTTGTACTGATTGATTTAAGTGACTGGATGATTTAAGTGGATGTGAAGGGCTATAAAATAATCAAAATATTGGTAATGCATGTTTACCAAGAGCAGCAATATTCCTGCATTAAAAAAAAAGGGGAAGAGAAAGAGCTGTGTCATTTTAGAGTGGCAAGAAATAGCTTTCTTCTGAATAGACAGGTCAATAGTTCTGGGTAGTTTGAGAAGGAACCCACCCTTCCTGGAGCAGACAATATAGTCTATACATATCACTGTATGCATCAAACATGTTTGTATTTGGGGTTGAATGAATAAATTTGCTAATGCAATTTTTTTAAAACTGTGTCACCATAAAATACTATCAGACACTGTTTTGTGTTTAGAAAGGGGCTTATATGAGTATGCTTTGTAATTGTGATAGTTTTTAATTCTACTTCATACTCGATTTCATCCTACTATCATACTAATTAAATTCTTTTCAATCGGTTATGTTGTTGAATTAAAAAAACCAGCAATGTGTATGTTTAGAATATCAAATGTATTAAATGGATGCGTTTATACTTAATACATTATAAATTGAAGAAAAGACTGCTTTAGGGAATTGGTAATGAATTCTGAAGTCTTTTTGTAGCTAATAAGTCACCAGAAACAATCTGCTCCAAGTCAGTGGTGGCAGTATTTATTATCCTGCTGTCTCAAAGGCCTTCTCAGAAGAAACACTGCAAATTGTACATGGTTATAGAGAATTATGTTTCCTTTCACATATATCTGCCATTTATTTGTTTCACAAAAGGGATTATAACTTATGAAGGGGACATTCTGTCTACAGATCAAGAGATTGTTCAGCCTGGAGAAGAGAGACTCTGGGGAGATCTTACTGCAGCCTTTCAGTTCCTAAAAGGGGCTTATAAGTAAGTCAGGGAGAGATTTTTTATCAGGACCTGTTACGACAGGATGAGGGATGACGGTTTTAATATAAAACAGGGCAGATTCAGGCTGGATGGGAAGAGAACATTCTTTACAATGAGGGTGGTAAAATACTGGCAGAGGTTGCCCAGAGTGGTGGTGGATGCGCCATCCCTGGTGACATTTAAGGCCAGGTTGGATGTGGTTCTGGGCAACCTGATCTAGTTGATTGTCGTGGTTTAAACCCAGTCAGGTAACTTGTTCACTTACTCTCCCCCTTCTTTCCCTCCCCCTACTCCCGGAGGGACGGAGAGGAGAATCGAAAAGAATGCAACTCCCACAGGTTGAGATAAGAGCAGTTTAGTAACTAAGGTATAACACAAATCACTACTGCTACCGCCAAGAAGAACAATGATAAAGGAAATAACAAGGGAAGAGAATACAACACCTCACCACCAGCCGATCGATAACTCGCCCCCCCAAGCCCGACCAAGCACCCCATGCCTCCTCCAACCCTGCAGTCTCGCAGCCCTTCCAGCTAACTCCCCGTTACCTCCTGGGCATGATGTGCTGTGGTATGGAATACCCCTTAGGCTAGCTTGGGTCAGGTGTCCTGTCTCTGCTTCCTCCTGGCTTCCCCTCCTCCCTGGCAGAGGATGAGGCTCACAAAGTCCTTGACCAAACCAAAACATCATTGTTATCAGCTCTGTTCCCAAGCCGAAAATCAAAACACTGCACTGCACCAGCTACCAAGAAAGAGAAAAAATGACTGCTACTGCTGAACCCAGGACATTATCCACCCCTTATTCCATACCATTCACGTCATGCTCAGATCCCACATTTTCAATATACCATCACTCTTATCTAAGTGCATGGACCAGTCCCTATAAAGCTGCTGAGTCCATCTGGTCCATGATGTCAGGCTCCATCTCTTGTAACAGTCTTCCAGAGCAGGAGAGACTGTGTGCAGTGTTCACACTCGTCAATAATCTGGGCAATAGTGTCCATTGCCAAGTCCACCCCTCGATCATGAGTCCATCTCTGTGTTGCATCTC